TTACTATGTGCCTGGCACTGACCTAAGCACTGGGGATACAAAGAAAGGCAAACAATAGTTGGTCCCTGGCCCCAAAGAGCTGACATTTTAATGGGAAAAACAACAGGTAACTAACTAGAGGCATACAAGCTATACACAGAGGAGATGAAGGAATTTGAAAGGGGAATTGTGAGGGACCAGGAAAGGCCTCCTGCAGAAAGGAGAATTTAAACTGAGGCTTGAAGGAAGCCAGGTAAACAGTGAGGAGGAGGTGTGGGCAAGGAGCATTCTAGGATAAGAAACAGCGTGGCTGCTACAAACGCTCAGAGGAGTGAGATGTTCTAAGAACTGTGAGTAAGCAGGCCAGTAGAGCTGGATGCCAGGGAGCGTGAGAAATAAGAGAAGATGAAAGTGACAAAAGAAGGTGGGAAAGGTTGCAAGAAGCCAAAGTATGCGCAGCTTTAAAGGCCAGTCAATGGACTTGATTTTTTATATATATTTTATTTTTCATTACATATTTCCCAAGTCCACATAAACAAACATTTTTAACATTCATTTTTTAAAATTGTGAATTCCAAATTCTTTTTATCCTTCCACCCCTTGAGAAGGCAAACAATTTGATACCAATCGTACATGTGAAGTCATGCAAAATATTCCCATATTAGCCATGTTGCAAAAGAAAACACACACACAAAGAAAAATAAAATGAGAAAAGTATGCTTCATTCTGCGTTCAGAGTTTATGAGTTCTCTTTCTGGAGGTGGATAACATTTTTCACTGTGAGTCCTTTGGAATTGTCCTGGATCCTTTCCTTGATCAGAATCTCAATTCTTTCACACTTGATCACTGTTATGATATTGCTGTTACTGTGTACAACATTCTCTTGGTTCTGCTCCTGGTTCTTTGCATCAGTTCATGTAAATCTTCCCGGGTTTTTCTGAAACCATCCTGCTGGTCATTTTTTATAGCACAATAGTAGTCCATCACATTCATATACCACAACTTTTTCAGCCACTCCCCATTTGATGGACATCCCCTCAATTTCCAATTCTTTGCCACCACAAAAAGAGTTGCTACAAATATTTTTGTACAAATAGGAAAGATTTTATTGTTTATCTTGAAGGTAATTAATAGGGAGACAAAAACCCCAAGAGACAGAGTTTCTGAATAATTAATAATCAATTTATTAATTAGGCTAGCCTTTAATCAATAAATCAATGGTCAGTGGTTTCTCTTACCACAAGAGACCCTAAAATGCTATAAATCCTTTCTGAAAGGTAACTCCCTGACAAGCGAAACTCAACCCTGATTGGTGAACATTTAGTGAGGAGGTGGGCGAAAGTCTTCAGCTCTTCTGCTGAGAACTTGGCTTGATCACGGGACTCCGCAGCCTCAAGGCATCTGGGCCAGGGGAAGCCATTTCTCATCTGGATATGTCTCGCTATTTTCTTCCTTCATGAACTAAATGGCCCGAAATTCCAATGGAAGGGACCAAGGACTGGGGGTTCCTCCTCCAGGCAAAGGTTTACCCAGGTTGGATTCTGTTTATACTCTAAAGAGAAATTAGGTCTCTCTTTTGGGCTGGGTGTGGTCTAAAGTTAACAAGCATGTGCCTTGAGGGCTAGGAGCAATCTCCTCTGTCAGTCATGCCCTTCAGAGACTAACTTTTTCATGAGTTTGGGCCTTAACAGAAATAAGAGGGAAAAAGGTGGATCACAAATGAATGATTAGTTATTGATATAATACATGATATTAATTTCTCTCTGTAGACAATGGAACTCGTGTGAAGGTGGGGAAGGCAGATGGGTGTGGGACATAGTTAAGTGTATACTTTAGAAAAATCACCTTGGGGGCAGCTAGGTAGTGCAGTGGATAGAGCACTGGCCCTGGAGTCGGGAGGACCTGAGTTCAAATCCAGCCTCAGACACATAACACTTACTAGCTGTGTGATCCTGGGCAAGCCACTTAACCCCATTGCCGAGCCAAAAAAAGAAAAGAAAAGAAAAATCACCCTTGGAAGTTGAATGGAAAGTAGACTGGAGCTCGGGAAGACTTGGGATAGAGTGACCAGCTCAGTGGTCCAGGAGAGAGGTAATGAGAGACTTGAACTAGGTCATAGCTGGATGAGTGGAGGGAACACATGTAAATAAGAGATGTTGCAAAGGTAGAAACAAGAAGAAACAGCAAGGGATTGGACAGAGGGTGAGAGACAGAAGTAGGAGAATACAAGCTTACACTATACCACTTGATTATCTTTTGAACCAACTGATTGAATTAACAGGGTAACCAGTCCACTGTCAGGCTAAAGGCTGGAGTCTGGCATGTTTGACCCTGAGGGATCTGGAGAAGCTTTGGTGTCACCTTGAACTGCACACCCACACCCTGATTTACGGGATTACTATTTAACAAAAATAGGGGTTTAGCAACAAAACCCACTGGTTACTAACTGAAGATCAAAGCAGAGTCTTCTAAAAATGGCTCCCAAAGGACTCAAGAGCTAAGGACTACAAGATGCTGACATTGAGAAGCTTAGGACAATTAAGAGGTCCCTTGTTTTTGATTTTGAGGTTTGCCTCTAATGGGACCAAAAGAAGGGGCTCAAAGAAAGGACCTTGGCTTGGGATGGATGAGAGAATGGCAGGTGATCACAGATGACAAGAGAAGGCAGAGATGCCCAGTTCTTTCTCTGCTTCTGTATTTGTTGCCAAGGAGAAGGACCTTTGCACTGGAAACAGCAGATCAAAAACTGGCTGACAGAGAAATGATGCCTGATAATAAGTGAGAGGGTACCTACTTGCCTTTGATGAACTGGGTCACTGGTGACCCACACAAACAACATTCTCTGATACTGAAATAAAGGGCAGAAGTTTGCAGAGTCACTATCAGTAACATAATCACTCTGGCTCTCAAGGCTTGACCAGCAATAGGTTCCAGGCCAAGCCCCACTTGGTCACTTGTTTGGGCCCTGATTGGCTCATAGTGAATGTAAATAACAATTGTTTCTGTTTTGGCCAGAAACCCTGAGGGTCCTTCCCTCCCAGATCTGTTTGTTTCGTTTTTGTTCTTTAATTAAGTAAAAGAGGCCATTCTTCCCCTCATTTCTCGCCCAGCTTTAATCACTTAATCATACTGAGACCAGTTAAAGATCTTAGGGCCATCTCCAATGGTCCCAATCTATATCTTGCACTGGACCCAGATGGCTCTGGAGGAGACTGTGAGGCTGGTGGCTTTGTACAGCCCTCTCTCACTTAAATCCAATTCACTTGCATGTCATGGCATCGCCTCCTTGATCATCCTTTTTGAGAATGAAGGATAAACAACAATTAGTAATATACGAAAGACTATGGAAAACAGGAGGGAGGGGGACCCCAAGATCAGAGAAGGGAAGATGTCCCGATTTTTTTAAAAAAAGGGAAAAGAACAGAGCCTGCAAACTCTAGGCCAGCAGCCTTTCTTTGAATTCTGGGAACATTTTAGAACACAGCATTAAAGGGATGGTTGGTGAATACCTAGAAAGGGAAACAGTGATTTCAAGGAGCCAGGCTGGCTGTAGAAAGCACAGGTCACGACAGACTAACCTGATTTCCTTTTTGGACAAGGTTATCAAGCAGACAGATGAGGGAAATGGCGTCAATAAAGCTTACCTGAATTCTAGCAAGGTCTTTCTTTCTTAAGGCAATTAGAGTTAAGTGACTTGCCCAGGGTCACACAGCTAGTAAGTGTCAAATGTTTAGTCTGAGGCCGGACTTGAACTCAGGTCCTCCTGACTTCAGGGCCCGTGCTCTATCCACTGCGCCACCTAGCTGCCCTTCTAGCAAGATTTCTGAGAAGATATCACGTTACTGTCTTGGAGATGTTGGAGGGATGTGGACCAGATAATAACGCCATGAGACTGGATGGCAGGACTCAAAGATTCATTAATGGTTCAGTTTTACTTCGATGAAGGATCTCCAGTGGAAGTGTCCCTGATCGCCATACTCAGCTCTGGGCTGCTTAATCTTTTTGGTTTTGTTTTTTAACCAAAAGCTTGGATAAAAGTAAAAATGGCCAGCTTATCAAATCTGCAAATAACACAAAGGAGAAGCATAGCTAACAGACTGGGCGATGGTCAGCATCCAAAAAAGATCTTGAGAGCACTGGGCTGAATCTGACCAGATGAAATTAAATAGGGCTCCCTATGAAATCATATCGCTGGGTACCAACGATCAATTTTACAGTGACAGCTTCCTAGGGTCCTCCCTTGCCCATGCTACCCAGAGGGCAAGCCCATTCCTCTACATGCACAATCGACCCCATCCCCTTCCTTCCCGTCTCCTCCAGCAGGCTGTCCCCTCCTCCATCGCTCATCTTCAGTCTCTTCTTGTCAGCTGGCTCCTTCCCTAGAGGGCGGGTCTCCCAGTCCACTGGATCTTCACCACCCGTTAGGATGTTAGCTACTTGAAGATAAGTATTCTTGCTTTCTCTTTCTATCTTCAGCACCGAACATAGCACCTGGCACGTGGATCAAGGGAGGGTTTTTTTGAGGATTGAAGATAAAGAGTGAGAATGCCAGAGGGGGCAGCTTGCGGGAAGAGATGGGGACGAAGTGGGTCGACTGTGCCTGCAGAGGAAGGGGTTGCCCTCCTGACACCAGGATGCGGACGGCCTAGGGAGCTCGGCTGAGAGCTGACTCTTCCGGGAAGATCAGAGCAATCAGAAGACTGCTCCATTCCAGAGGGAAGGACCAGAAGTAAATGGGGCTGGGAGTGGGTTGAAAAAAGGCAGCTTTAGCTTTGATTCTTCTTCCTCACGAGGTCCCTAAGTACAATGGGCTGCTTGGGGTGGAGATCCCCAAGCACAGCATGGAGAACCCCTGGTCGTTAAAGTCCTCTGGCTCCTCCAGGTGCTGCGACTTCCCAGGACCTCCCTTTTCCCACCAGCAGCTGCCTCAGCTTCTGCGCCTGCGAAATGGGGTCAATAGAAGAGTGGCAGAGGTTCGAGTTCTAGAAGAGAACCTTCTGCGTGCGGTGGGAGCCCATTGGCCGGGTTGCGGCCGGCACAGCCAATCAGGGCACGCTATGGGTCCCCGGGCAGCTGGGGGCCGAAGGACCTCATCTCCTCGTTGGGCACAAAGGCGGTTGGTGCGGCAGTGCGGGTTCGGGGCTATCAGGTGAGGGCGGGGCTCGCGATCATTTGGGGCAGATCTTCCAGTTGGGGGAGGGACCAACTATCAGTTGGCGCAGGGCTGCCAGTTACAGGTGGCTCTTTGTGGCCTCTTCCCCAGGCCCCCCAGCCCTTCGGTTTAAGGACCAAGATAATGGACAGGCCATCAACCCCGCCCTTCGATCCACGCTTTCCGAATCAGAACCAGACGCGCAACTGTTACCAGAACTTCTTGGGTTCGTGGGGGAGGGGAGTGACCCCCAACAGTGAGGGGTGGAGGCAGAGGAAAGCCGGGTTGACCCCAAAGCTGGAGGGGATGGGGGATTGGGGTGCCTGGGGCCCCCCAGCTGGAGGAAGCAGGGAAGTGCTGGGCTGGCCCCCCACCTGAGGTACGCTACAGGGGAGTGCCGGCTTGACCTCCTGGCCCCCCCTTCTCCCAGATTTTCACCGCTGTACCAGGACCATGAGGAGGAAGGGGAAGGACACGTTCCCCTGCGACTACTACCGCAAGGTCTTCCACGCCCTGTGCCCTCTTAGCTGGGTGAGCTGCGGGGATGGGAGGGGGCAGGGGAGGTGGGGGGGTCGGGCTCTGGATGGCTGCTTCCTTCCCCACAGGTGCAGCGCTGGAACGAGCAGATCCACGAGGGAACCTTCCCTGGAAAGATCTGATGGCTCCTCTCCCTGCTCTGGCTGCACTGCTCAACCCCTGGCCTGTAACCCCCTCTCAGGACCTCTGGAATAAAGTGACACTGTACAACCTCCACAAGTCACTGTCCTCTTTTCCAGGCCTAGCAAGGGAGAAGAGAAAGGGTGTGTGGGTCGAGGGGGTGGGGGGAGTGTCTCCCCTGAATTCCCGAGGCAGGGCTCGGCTTGGGCTCTGCCCAGCAGCAAGGCAGGAGGCCCGAGCTTGGACCACCTCACCCCAGGGAAGGCAGAGCCCCGCCCCCCCAGGCAGAGAAGGCTAGAAGCCACATCCACAAGCCTGAAGACCTCCCTGCTTCCCCTCCCAGCCCCCACAACCTCGAAAGGCCTGGCTTGTGTCCAGTCAGTGTGGAAGTGAGGAGTGAAAGCCTTGCAGCCCCCAAGCCCAAAGAAATCCTGGGAGAACACAGACTTAACAAGAAGGACTTTTATCAAAAAAAAAAAGTTGCAAACTGCCCGTCACCCAGTGTCCCCAATCCCTGGGGTGGGGGTGGTGAGGCTCAGGGCCCCAGACTGTGCTGGCCCCCCCCTTCCCCTCACTCCCCAGGAGGCACCAGAACTATAGCACCATGAGAAAGATGAGGTGGGGTGGCCTCCCTGAGAGCCAGAGGGGTATGTATGTGGAGGGGGGGGGAAGAGTGCCATCCGCAAAAGACCCCCCCTCCCCCCTCCATTCCCCCCCATTTCGTTATGGCTTTCCTCCCTGGAGAAGGGGGGGCGGTGTGCCACTGAGGTGGGAGGTAAAGTCAAGAACCATCCTGAGGCTTGGGGGGAGGGGATCCTTGCCTATCCCTCCCTGCTGGGTTTGGGAATGTGGGCACCCACACACACATCCTAGGCTCTATCTTCCCGCCACTGAGGCAGATAGCTCCCCTCTGCCCCCTGGCCCGTGGTGGGAGCTCCTAGGGTCAGGGGGTGGCCCCTTGCTAAGATTATCCCTGCTAGGTCAAAAGGGTGGGCCTGGCCACCTGCACCCTTCCCTCCTGCCCACCACAGAGCCTCCAGGGCTGGGCCTGGGGCCTGCTTGCTGCAAGGACAGGAAAGGCCCCCCAGAAAACCGGACCCTTGCCCCTGGGGAAGGGCTTTCTTGCTAGGGTTAGTCCTGTTCAATTGAAGGAGCTGGCTCCTAGTGAAAGGTATAGGGATCCAAAAGGTGCCCCAGGCCGCTGAAGAGTGGCCCTGGAGGGGTCTAAGGGGCCATTCCTGGCCAGGAGGAGGCAGCACCTGGAAATCGATGCCCCGCCCCCAATTCCCTGGGGAACCCGGCACGAGCTCCCTGGAAACTAGCTGGGAGGGAAAGGAAAAGGAAGCCCTGGAAGCCTGGCCCCCCCAGGTCCCCTCTCCCTCAGGCCCAAGGGAGAAATAGAGAGGCTCTGGCTCCCTGCTAAGTGTGGCCCTGGCAGGATCACAGGGACACCTCCCCACAGGGACCCTCCAACCCAGGAGAGGAGGGGCCTGAAAAGAAATCCATGGCTCTGCTGCAGCCTCACCAACTGTGGAGGGCTGAAGAAAGGAGACACCCCCTGAGGCAAAAACCAAGCCTCCCTGCTAAGGCAGGCTGACCTCTGGAGGTCAGAAGAGGTGGCTCCCTGCTAGGTAGATGCTGAAGGAGGTCCGATACCCCCTAACTCCTGCCTCCCAAGAATTCGAGCCTGTCGGAGGTGGAGCAATGGGAGCAGAAGAGGTGCCCCCAAACTCGCCCTCAGTGCCCCCCGTTAATATCTAGGGCGATGGAGCCATGGCTGACCACGAGGCGCAGACGTTTAGGTGGAGAGAAGGGGCCAAAGGCCAGGGTCCGCTTGGGAGGCTCGGGGCCCATAGGCCTAAGGCTGGCAGGGGCGGTAGGGACCGGGCCGGCACCACTCAGGTCCACTCGAACCACACGGGGTAGGCCATATTGCCGGGCCCAATGCCAGTCCTGCAGTGGGGCAGGCCGAGCTGGGGCTGAGGCAGGGGCTGGGTTCAAGGCCACAGCGACCTCCCCCTGAAGGCGGCACCGTGGACCACAGCCTCCCCACTGGTGCAGGGAGACCCGGGGGACCCGAGGGTGCGGGGCTGACCGGGCTGACCGACGGCGGGGGGGACGGCGGCGGCGACGGCGGCGGCGGGGAGGGTGGGGCCGCGGCAGCCACTGTACCCACAAGGCAGAGGCATCCAAATGAGTACCGAAAGGCTGCAGGTGAAGGGGCTGGCAGAGCGCTGTGGGAAGAAAACAAAGTGGGCTGGTGGGGGCAGCCGGGGACGCCCAGGCGGCGAAGAGGGGGCCCCAGGAGAACATGGCCGAGGAGCCAAAGGGCTGGAGGAAGGAAACTGGGCAGGGGATGGGGAGAACGGAGGCTCACCACACAGGAGGTCCAGACGGCGCAAGGTGTGCAGATGCGAACAGCGCTGAGCCCCCAGAGGCCCAAGACCCTGTCGCATCCCTCGGGCCTCCCAGTAACGCTGAAGACGCCTCTCAGTCTCTCGGAGGTCATACTTCTCACAAGTCCTGGGAGTGGCGGCTGCCGCATCCCGGGGCCGCAGGCGAAAGGCGCCTTCTCCCTTCCTGAGGGTAAGGGAAAGAAGCCAGGATGCTGGGGGCAGGGCAGGTAAGAAGAGGCCCTGCCGTGGCTCAGGGTGGCTGAGCCCTCCCCCCCACCCCAGAAGGGTCCCCACCCCCACGGCTCAGTGCAGGCCAGGCCGGGCTCACCTCTCACATGTGCAGCACTCACAAAGCTCATTTCGATCCCCAAAAAAGCCATCCCCATAGAAGCAGGTCACTTCGTCCCCGGGCTCAATGTCTCGGAGCACCTTCACGCAGGCTGCATTCCCGTCTGCGGGCACAAACTGGGGGCCCCTCCTCCTCAGCTCTCATCCCCTGGAGAGCACCCCAGGCAGGGGGGCAGAGGGGACAGATCCAGAGGCGGCCCTCCCTCGTGGCAAAGGCCTTGTTCTCAGTTCTCCTGCCCTGTCCCCCCGCTAGGCCTTAGACCTTCGGGTTGAGAAGCTGCAGAATCGGGAGCTCCATCCTGCTCCCTGGGAAGAGCCTCGAGCCACCCCTCTCATGCCCCCCACATCACTCCTCCAGCCTACCTTGCAATTGGGTCTGCAGTCTGAGGCCGACGGGGAAACAGAAAAGAAGAAATGAAAGTGAGTGAGGCTGTGCCCCCCCCTCCTGGGCCCCTCCCGTGCCAGCCTGCAGCCAGCCCTCACCATGGTTGATGAAGGCTGCGGGGCCCAGCCACAGCTGGGCGCTGCGTTTCCGTGTGGAGTACATAATGCTGAAATCATTCTCGCCGGCCCGGAGCAAGCCCTCGTCGGCCTCCCGCAACTCGGCGATGCACCCCACCAGCAGCTCCAGCTTCTCATTCTTCTTCCTGGGCCCAAGGGCACGGGCAGCCTGCAGCCATGTCCCTCCTATCCTCCCATCCCCCTCCAGTCATGGCTGGCCCACCCCAGGGAGTGGGGCTCCCCCTTACCAGGAGCGTGTAGACACGACCTTGGCCCCGTTGGTTTCCAGGGAGTATCGGGTACAGGGAAGGATGGCAAATCCGCTTTCAGGCAGGAAGGCTCGAAGGTATCGGTAGATCTGGGGACGGGGGGAGTTGGGGAGTAAGCAGGGGCCACCAGGGGCCTGGGGGGGGGAGGGAAGGGTTGGAGCGCTCCTGGAAATGCCTCGGTGGGGGGAGGGGGAGGAAGGGCAGATATCAAGGAGCCCATTGACGCAGAGGGGAAGGCACACTTCTGTGGGGAGCTGGGGAGGGTCTCCCCCTCACATGGGTCTTGAGGGCAGCCTCCTGCTGCGGGCCACGGCTCTGGAAGTAGTGGGCCATCCAGCCGCCCAGGGTCAGGGCCCGGTAGGCCGCCTCCAAGTCCCGCTGCCTCCGGAAAGTCTCCAGCGCCGAGCGCAGGTGGTGCTGCCGACGCAGAGGGGGCACCGGGCTGGCAGGCACAGGACAGAAAGGGATCTCAGAGGCCAGGAAGCGGTTTCCTTTTGGCCTGTGTCAGCCAGGACAATGCTGCTCACACGAGACACAGCTGGCATTTCTGCGGTGCCTCCCAACAGCCTCAGCAGGCGATCCGCATTTTACACAGGAGAAAACTGAGGCTGAGAAGGGTTAGTGCCTCCTGGCCCAGGCTTACATAGCTAAGAAGCATCTGAAGCAGGAACTGAACTCAGGTCTTCCTGACTCCAGGCCCAGCATTCTACCCACTGGCCCACCCCGCCGCACAACTGAAAATGGAAGCCCTCCACCCACAGGGAACTCACTACCTCAGGGATGGGGGGGGGCGCCCAGCCCCTTCTTCCCAAGTCTAGGGAGCTGGGACACTAGGAGGCACTGAGAGGCTCCTGGGGCAGGGGATCTGCCAGGGGTCTCACCCCAGAGCCTCAGTCTCCTCATCTGTACAAGAGGACTAACGGTCCCCCTACGTCCAACCAGCAGCTATAAGTGAGCCCCGCACCCACGGAGACGAGGTGGCAGGGGCCCCTCACCTGACGTTCATCTTGTGCGTGCGGAAGCCCAGGTAGGGGTCGAGGACCAGGCTGGTGGCAAGGTCATCATTCTCACACAGCTCCCTGGCTGTCACCCTCTCCGGCCCCATGGTGCAGCCTGGACCATGCTGCTGCTCCCCGGCCCTGCGGGAGGACAGGGCCGCGCCCAGGCCCGGGCTCAGGCCGGGAGGGGGCACCTGCCGCCGTCGCCCCCCCCCAGGCTAGCCTCTGAGGGGGCGGGGCTTCAGAGAGGACAAAGGGGAGGGGTGGGAAGAGAGAGAAGGGGGAGCGCAGGGGGGTGGGGGGACCAAAGGGGAGGGGAGAGACCCCCAACCCCCACCACCTGGAGAGGAAGGAAAAGAAGGAAGGGCTGAGAAGAGGAACAAAGCCCGGGGGTCAGGGCCAGCAAACTGCGGCCCGGGGGCGGGGGACCCATCAGGCCTGGGGTGGGGGGCCTTGGGAACACCCGGGACAGGGCTGCAGAACCCAGGCAGAGAGGGGACTGGAGGGGAGCCAAAAGCAGGCAGACGGGGGCGCGCAGAACTCGGGCAGAGGGAGGACAGAACACACGTGTGCGTTTGCGTGTGTGTGTATGTGTGTATACACGCGCGAGCAACTGAACGGTGGTGGAGGGAAATAGGAGGGGGAAGGACAGACCGCAGGCAAAGAACACAGAACATGGGGGGGGCACAGAACACAGGCGGGGTGTGTGTGTGTGCATAGAACACGCGGGAGGGGAAGGGTGTGCACAGAACACAGGCGGGGGGAGCACAGAACACGGGGGGAGGGGTGTGCACAGAACAGTGGGGGGAGCACCCAATTCGGGGGGAGGGGTGTGCACAGAACACGGGCGGAGGGAGACCGAACGTGGGCGGGCGGGGGCTTGTGGAACGCCGCGGGAGGGGGAGAAATGGAAGGCAGGAGGGGATGGGGGAGGGGCCCCAGCCGACGGGGGGGGACGAAGGTCGGAGGTCAGGCCCCGCCCTCCCCGGTCTCTCACCTCCCCCTCCCCCTCCTCCTCTTCCGGCTCCCGCCGCCGCAGCCGCCGCTGCCACCGCCACCGCCTCCAGCTCCTGCTCCCGCCGCCCCGGCCCCGCGACTCCCGCCCCGGCCCGCCCCGCGCCGGCCCACTCCGCCCTGCTTCGCCGCCGCAGCGCCGCCTCCCATTGGTCCATGTGGCTGTCACTCTACCGTCGCCATGGTGTCTGTGCGGCGCCGTCATACGCCCGCCCTCCGACTCCCTCAACGGCCGCCTACGTTGCCAGGGAGACTAGGCCCCGCCTCCCAGGGTTCGAATGCTTCCATTGGCTTACGTGCCTTGTTCTTCAGCTCTGTGCCGCGGAGGCCCGAGGGTTGGGAGACGAGTCCTTCTAGGCTCGCAATCGATTGGCTCTCTGTTAAACGACCTTCATACTATTGGCCTCTATCCCCGTCCGTCAGCGCATCCCCCGGGATACCAGAGGATTTGGGTGAGAGAAGGTGGAACCTCCCGGGCCTCAGAGTTCCAAAGCAATTGGCTTGCCGATAGACGTAGCCTCACACCATTGGTCCACGAGCCTTGTCCTTCAGCTCCAGGAGAATAGAGAGCGTTGTGCATTGGGAGCTGGCGCGCCCATTCCCAGAACCTCTGCGTCTCCCGCCATTGGACGTCAGCATCTGTCATTCATGTCCTAGCTGAAGGCGGCTCAGGAATGGAAGACTGGCCCTCCCGGGGCTCCGGCCGCTGCATTCTACCATTGGCCAGCGCGGCCGCCCATCGGGGCTTGCCGGCCCTCCCGACTGCGCGCGCGTCTCCCCCTCGCCAGTGCCTGGGCTTGAGGATCGCCATGGCAACCAAAACTTTACTGAGAGCCGCACCCGCTCCTGGAGCCGGTCGGGAGGAGGGCGCTCTTGGGAGCTGCTCCCAGGCCTCGGTTAACGAGGCCTCAGGCGCATTGCTGAGCAAGCCCTGCAGCTTTAACCCCTAACGGAGCTGACCGTTGAGGGCTCTGGACAGTCCCGACAAGACTGACCACTGAGGGCTCCAGGGACGGTCCTGACAAGACTGACCACGGAGGACTCCAGCGATGTGACCACTGAGGGCTCTGGACAGTCTCGACAAGACTGACCGCTGAGGCTCCGGACGGTCCTGACATGACTGACTGATGCGGTTTGGGGGTTCAGGGGTCCTGGGACCCCAAAATCACAACATGTCATGACATGACTGCTGAGGGCTCTAAGTAAGATTCAAGTGAGACTGAACCCTTAGGAGCCCATGGTGATCACAGTTGAGGCCAGCCACTGAGGAATTTGAGGGTGATCACGGTAAAAAGCGACCATGAAGGACTCAGGATAGTCACAGTGGGTTTAGCCTGGAGGATTGGCAGGTGGTCAGAGGGAGCTCAGATGCTCAGAACTGGAGGGTGAGAAGCAGAAGACTGGCCATTGAAGGCTCATGGTTCAGAGCAGAATCACCACCAAGGACTCAACTGCGGAGTTCCAGAACTTCTAGGGACTTGACCAGCTAGTACAACCTCAACTTAATCAGAATCTCCACTAAAATGTGCCTTGAAGACTTCTAGGGAGGGAGAAATCAACATCTCAATACACCCTGTTCTACTTTAGATAGAGCTTTTTTTTTCCTTTTGTGAGGCAATTGAGGTTAAGTGACTTGCCCAGAGTCACACAGCTGGTGAGTGTTAACTGTCTGAGGTTGGATTTGAGCTGAGGTCCTTCTGACTCCAGGTCCAGTGTTCTATCCACTGCGCCACCTAGCTGCCCCTTAGAGCTCCTCTTGAGGAAGTGTTGGTGATCGCAAGCCTCAATTGTCCTCTTTGCTCGTTCTCTTTGTTCCACTTTCTGACCTCTGGGTCCAAACATCCCTTTGCCACATGACAGCCTTTGAAGAGAGCTGTCATATAAGCCTGGGCCTTCTCTTCTTTAACCTAAACATCTCTCATTCCTTCAACTAGTATTTATCTAGCATAGATTTGAGGGTTATTAAAAATGAGTCTGGCCACTGAGAAGTCCAGTACTACCTACAAGACCAGCACTCAGTACCTATTAACTTACAGTGTTTGACCCCCGAATGGGGTACTGAGGGCAATAGGAGACTGTGCCGAGGGCCTTCAGGTGCCAGACCAGGAGGGCAATAGGGCAGATCTTCCCAAATCTCCTTCCTTCCTTCTGTACCTTCTTTGTCTCCTTCCCTCCTTCCTATTCTTCCTTCTTTGTTTACCTCCCTTCCCTCTCCCTGCCTTTCTTACTTCCTCTCCCTTCCCTTTCCTTCCTTCCCTCCTTCCTTCTTCCTTTCCTTTCCTTTCTCTTCCTTCCTCCCTTCCTTCTCATTAAACACTGAGTGATCAGAGCTGAGTGGAAGACAGAGTTAAACAGACTTCGTCTTGTAAAAAAAGAAAGGAGGCCAGAAATCATGTCCCTAAGGTCCCTGACCAGCTCTAACAAAGGATTGCTAAGCATATGGTATTTAAAAGAGGGAGGGACTTTAAAGTGAGGAAGGGTGTGAGACCCAGGAAGACTCCTTGGGGGAGGGGGCTATTTGAACAGAGTCTTGAAGGATTGGAACAGGTGGGGTTGGGAGAAAAGCCTTCTAGGCTGGGAAATGCTAGGACAAAGTATTTTCTGATTCTCCCCATTACCCCCCCCACACACTTTTCCTTTATGTCTCCCTCCATCACTTCTTTTACTCTGTCTCTATCTCACTCTCCCTAACAGCTCCCAGGTCATTTCCACTTGGCTCCCAGATGGGTGTTCCTGAATGGGTGCTCCTGGATTTCCCATTAAGCCCTCACACTCAGTTTTGGGGTCTGTTTATATGTCTCTCTCTTATCCTGACCTCTCCCTGTCTCTGGGTCTACTTCTGTATACTTTGTCTACAATTCCTCTGCTTTCATGTTTCATGTTTCATTCCTCACTTTCCTTTGAGACCCACTTCTCCATGTCATCAAATAAGGAAACATATTAAAAACCTATCTATTAAAACTGAAAATATTAAGAAATAATATTTCTCCAGCCTAAAGGCTTTCCCTCCTCACCAGTGTTTTGCTTCTGACCACCACTTCCCTTAATCTTCCCTCCCTTCTATCAGCCTCCTCCTCTTTTCTTTCCCCTTTCTCCTCCTACTTCCCCATAAAGTAAGATAGATTTCTTTTTTCATAGGCAGTTGTGGTTAAGTGACTTGCCCAGGGTCACACAGCTAGTAAATGTCAAGTGACTGTTCTGAGGTCGGATTTGACCTCGGGGCCAGTCTATCCGCTGCACCACCTAGCTGCCCCATAAATTTCCTTAACCAACTGAATGTGTGTGTTACTCCCTCTTTGAGCCAAATTCCATGAGAGTAAGGTTCAAACAATGCTCTCCCTTCTTCCCTTCCACTGTAATAAGTCTTTGTGCCTCTTCATGTGATGTAATTTACCCTATTCTGCCTCCCCCTCTCCTCTTCTCCCAGTACAATCCTTTTTTTCACCCCTTAATTAATTATATCATCACATCAAAGTCAACTTATATCCACACCCTCTATGTATACCCCTTCTAAATGCTGTAATAGAGGTAAGTGAAATGAACACTTACAAAAATATAAATTGCCCAGATTAACAGAAAGAGGAAATAAAATACTTAAATAATCCCATTTCAGGAAAGAGGAAATAAAATACTTAAATAATCCCATTTCAGGAAAAAAAACCTTTCCAGACTTTCCCTTTAGGAAAATCACGTTAACAAGCATTTATTAAATTCCAACTATGTGCCAGGCACTTTGCTAAGTGCTGAAGATGTAAAAAAAGGCAGAAACAGACCCTGCCCTCAAGGAGCCCACAATCTGAATACAAACAAGATATATACAGGAGAAAATGGCCATAATCACAGAGGAAAGGCCAAGAGTCAGGAGAACTGAGGGGCTTCTTACAAAAGGTGGGTTTTCAGTTGGGACCGGAAAGAAGACAGGGAAGCCAAAAGGTAGAGATTAGGAGGGAGATTAGGAGATTAGGAGGCAGAGAAATTAGGAGGGAGTTCTTGACATGGCAGGCAGCCAGTGGAAATGAATGGAGTCTGATTGAAAAAGGCAAGAGAGGGGGGATGGAGGGGAAAGGACCTATTTGTACAAAACTTTTTGTGGTAGCTAAGAATTGGAAATCAAGGGGATGTCTATCAACTGGGGAATGGCTGAACAAGCTGTGGCATATGATTATGATGGAATATTATTGTGCTCTAAGAAATGATGAGCAGGCTGATTTCAGAAAAACTTGGAAAGACTTACATGAACTGATGCTGAGTGAAATGAACAGAACCAGGAGAATGCTATACACAGTAACAGCAATATCATCTGATGAACTGTGAATGACTCCGCTCTTCTCAGCGATGCAATGATCCAAGACAATCCCAAAGGATTCATGATGAAACATATTATCCATCTCCACAGAAAAAACTGACAGATGAAACATTTGATTTCTTTCTTTCTGTCGTTCTTTCTTTGAGTCTCGTACAAAATAACTAATACGGAGGGGGGAGGGAGGGAAGGATAAAATTTGGAACTCAAAACCTTTTTTTAAAGTTTAAAAACTGTCTTCATTTGTGACTGAGGAGAAATATGTTTAAAAAGCAAAATGCATGAAGTCTGAATGAAGGGAGCCAATGAGATCACCAAGGGAGATGTGGAAGGGAGAAGAAAAGAGCACCCAGGACTTCAGGGGTTAGAATACAGATTTTCAGTTCCTTAGGGGCAGGAAATTGGTTGGCTTTTTGTTATACCTCATGCTTAGCACATTCTCTGGCACACAGCAAGCACTTAATAACACGCTCATTGATTGCTCTTCCCTTCAGATTGTAAGCTCCTTGGGGACAGGAACTGTCTTTTGCCTCTTTTTGTATCCCCAGTGCTTAATACAGTGTCTGACACACAGAAGGCCCTTAATATTTATTGAGTAGACTGTGCTATAAGATGAGCAAGCTGATTTCAGAAAAACCTGGAAAGACTTACAGGAACTGATGCAAAGTGAAGTGAGCAGAACCAGGAGAACACTGTACACAGCCACAGCCATATTGTCCAATGATCACTCGTGAATGACTCAGCTATTCTCAGCAATACAATGATCCCAGAGAATTCCAAAGGATTCATGATGAAAAAGTGCTGCCCACCTCCAGAGAAAGAACTGATGTGGTCTGAATTCAGACTGAAGCGTACTCTTTTTCACTTTTTTTGGTCCCTTTTTTCCCCTTTGGGTCTGTGCCTTCTTTCACAGTGTGACTAATATGGTGATTTGTTTTGCATAATTGAACATGTATAAGCTATACCAAATTGTTTACTGTGTCAGCGAGGGGAGGGGACAAGCGTAGATGTCGGAAGTGATCATCATTGAAGATCAACTGAGCCCCAATGAGGGCCAAAAACCTGAACTGATCTTTTCTTCCCGAGTGAGCTGAGACTGCCCCTTCCTGTGTCGACAGCTGAAGCTGACCAAGAGCATTCTTCCGTTCGTGACCACTCGGGCGCCTTTCACCCAGACACTATCTCGACGGTGATAAAGGAAAACGCAGACGTCCTGGATCTGACCTTTGCCTATCATTTAAATTTCCTTTCTCGTGCTCTGATTAAACATATATGGAGACCATAAATCTGAGTAACACAGACATCCTGAGTCAGGGTTTAAATGTCCTGCCAAAATTGCTTGATTCAGTCAGAGTTCAAGCTCCGGCTCCATGTAACATGTTACATGCTGCTAACTTAAGGGAATGAAACAATATGGATTTACTTATCACCGAGCTGGTTGTCTCTTTAACCAACGTTCAGGTCGACAGAAGTCATGACCAAAAGAGCAGCAAAAGCAAGGGACAGAAACGAAGCAGAGACTGGGAGGGGAAAAAGAGCAAAGGCCACAAACGGAAACGTGGCTGAATCAAAGAACCGAGATGAGGTCATTCTAGGAGCAGAGAACGCCGATTCGGAATTTGCTACCTAAGTCCCTCCTTGGGACCAAAACTGAACAGTGCCATATGGGGAAAGATTGGACTGCCTCATAGCATCCAATTAAGAGGCCGCTCAAGAAGCACAAGTCCATTCGGAAAGACAAGAGCCCCGTGAGGGAACCTATTGACCACCTTCCTCCAGGGGAGACAGAAGGTAGTTCAGTGTTCTGCAGACAACTGGCAGCAAGAACTAGATGGAGAGATTTGGAGGTGTTTTCTATTGTAGGAAAGGTCCATGATGTAGAAATGATTTCTGATAGAAATTTCAGATGATCCAAAGGAATTGCTTATGTAGTTGATGTTAGCTCAGTGCCACTAGCAATAGGATTAACTAGCCAGTGGATCTTCAGAGCTCCTATCATTGTACAGGCCCCACAGGCAGAAAAGAAGAGAGCAGCAGCCGCAGGCAGAAAAGAAGAGAGCAGCAGCCGCAGGCAGAAAAGAAGAGAGCAGCAGCCATTGGAAATAATCTCCAGAAAGGAAGTGCCAGACCTGAGGGGCTTTATATAGGATCATTCTACCTCAATGTAACTGAAGCTATGCTTAGTGGAATCTTTGAGCCTTTTGGCAGGATGGAAGTATCCACCTGATGAGATAGTGTCAAGCTAAGGGATGTGTATTTATTACTTTTTCAGATTCAGCATGGAATAACTGAATGGATCTGAATCAGCACACAGGCCTGTGAGTGCTGGTCATGTTACTGAATGTACTGATGCTCCCAGGGCCAGGCCATCTTTAGATAGTTATGAGCTGGAATGGACTAGAATTAACAGGAACAAGCAGTCATCTCCAACCAATGACAGGATCTGCAGAAGGGACGGGCGTAGAGATTATTCCTCCAGCAGCGGGACAGACTTGCAGCGTTCGGAGCTACAGCACACAGAGAAACCAGACTCTGCCAACAGAGAGAGGCTACAACTCTAGCTGCAGGCGCTTCTGTGCAGGGAGGGAGGGAGAAATCTGAGACTCAAAATTTAAATAAATGAATGTTAAACATTGTCTTTACACGTAATTGAGGGGAAATAAAATATTATTAAAATGTATTGAGTAGAAGAAAAAACGTTAATAGTAATACTGTACCTCGTGCTCAGGGCTAGTTCTGCCAGAAAGTTTATTTTATCATTAATCTATATCCCAGTCATATGTAGCTTGCAGGGAGAAGGGGAGAGACAGAGAGAGAAGAAGAAGAGAGGAGGGCGGGAGAGAAGCAGAAAGAGAGAGAGGAAGAAGAAGAAGAAGAAGAAGAAGAAGAAGAAGAAGAAGGGAGGAGGGAGGGAGAGAGAGAAAGAGAGAAATGTTTCGACTGACAGAGACTCTCATGCTCTCTGCCATGACCTTCTGTCCTGACATACATTCAAGTAACTCTTTAGGTATCTTGAACAAGGAAAAGATCTGTTAAAATATAGTTGGAGGTCACATTCCATCCTATTCTCTTGGACCACACCCCGGGAGGAATATATGGGGCTCCTTCCAGAGATCTATATCAATCCAAACTTCATAGGAGTCACAAAGGCCACTTTCCATTGCAGAGTGCACTTCCCTGGAGGTATCTGAGAGCCAAAGTCTCCCAGGACGGGAAATGTCGCCCTCAATCCATTTCCTTCAGAAGGGCCTTCGCTTTTGTTCCTCTTCCACTATAGACTTTCCTTTTTCCTCCTTCCTTCCATCTTGTGGGACTCTCTGAGCCCTGGCTCCCTGCGGTTGACTCAGCCTCCCTGGCCATCCTTTCCAGCATGGGCTACCCTTCTCTCCCCTGGATTACCCTTGTGTCCACAGCAGATTGGCAAGTACCCTGGTCTTTTCTCAATCTTCGTTCTCCTGGCGCCGTCTGCAGCCTTTGACACTGCCCATCACTGGATCGCTAGATCCCTCTCCTCTCTCTTTTGGATGCTCCTTTCTTTCTGGGTCTCCTGCCGACATCTGCTCTGTGTCTGGTTCCTTTGCTGGATCTTCGTGTAGGTTATGTCCTCCCACCCCCACCCCCCACTCCCAGGTTCCCTGCAGGGCTCTGTCTTGTCTGTCTGCAGATCTCAGCTTCTACAAAAAGCCTGCTTTCCTAGTGCTTTCACTTGGAGACCACTCCCACATTATCTGGCCTGTGTCTTGTCTGCAGTGGCTGTTCACCTGAGTCTCCTCCATTAGCAAAGAGCTTACTGAGAGCCGGAGTGGGTTTGGTTTGGGGTTTGGTTTTGGTTTTGCCTTTCTTTGTCTCTATCCTCAACACTTTGCAAACTGGACAGCACCCAGCAGATGCCTAAATGTTTATTGATTTGATCTGATATATATTCCAATGGGGAAAACAATGTGCAAATAAATGGACATCGATACAAGATACATATAGAGGAGATACAAGGTAATCTTAGAAGAAGCAGCTGGGGCTGCAGAGGAAGCCTCCTGTAGGAAAAAAAAAGTCATCTATCTGTGCTCAAGTGTGTGAATGTGTGTGTCTGTGTGTATATATGTGTGTATTGTGTATCCGTGTATGATTGTGTGTCTATGTATATGTGTGTGAGTGTGTCTGTGTATATATGTATGAGTGTGTGTGTGTATATGTATGTGTGTAAATGTGTGTCTGTGTGTATATGCATGTGTGTGAGTGTGTATGTGTGCATGTCCGTATGTATGTGTATGTGTATGTGTGTCTGTGTGTATATGTATCTGTGTGTATATATGTGTGTATTGTGTATCTGTGTGTGTGCCTGTGTATATGTGTATGAGTGTATCTGTGTGTATATGTATGTGTGTATGTGTCTTCCCGTCTCTCTCCCCATCTATGACTAGATCTTGTCCCCTCTCTCCTTCCCACCTTCCTGCTAGGTGTGGTGTGTGTGTGTGTGTGTGTGTGTGTGTGTGTGTGTGTGTTTGTGTCTTCCCGTCTCACTCCTGTCTGACCAGGCCTTCTCCTGTCTCCCCACAGAGCCTCCTTCCCACCTTCCTGCCAGAAGCCCCGCCCCTACCCCACCCCCCCAGCTCAGTATCTGTTTCCCTCCCCATCTGTCTCTCTTCATGCCTGTTCTCTCAGGCTTGGGACTTTGGCTCCATGCCTCCAGCTCAGCTTCCCCACCTGCCCAGAGGCCTCTTTCCTGACCGGCGGCCCACTAACTCCCCCTCACACTCAGCGGACCCAAATGTGACTTATCCTTTCGGCTCTCAAGGACAGAGAGCTCCTAGGTCTGGTGCCTGCGACTCATGTGGACCCAGTTCTAGGATTATAGATCTCGAGTTAGAAAGGGTCTCAGAGACTGTCTGGTCCACCCCCTCATTTTACTGCCCAGGGAGGTGAAGGGAATTACTTACCCAGGCTAAACAGTAAGTATAATAGCAGTCTTGGAAGTGGGATGGCTGATTCTCCTACACCAGGGCCCTCCCAGGGAGGGATTCTGGTCTGAAACAAAGCCTGCTTCAGCCCCGACTGTCCACATCACAGGACCAGCCCCCAGCAAACTCCTGGGAGCCAGAAGGGATCTGAGGTCAAGGAGAAACTGAGGCTCAGAGCAGAGATGCCGCTTCCGCGAGGTCCCAGGGCCAGGAAGTGGCAGAGCCCCTGGATTCAGCCCCAGGCCTCTGACCCTCAGTACATCTAGAGGCCACCTCCCCTAGTGGGGTCTCTGTTCCCATCCCTTCCTCTATAGCCCTTCTATGTGCCTGGGCCCAGGCCCCTCACTGTTCCCAGGGCTGTGTTCCCATCCCCAGCTGTCCTTGTTCTCAACCTTCTCTGACCCATTCATTCCTCATGACCCACACCATCTATCCCCATCCAGTTCCTTCCCTAGGCCATCTGTCAGCTTCTCTGTCCTCATTCCTCTCTCTGTCCATGTCCTCATTCTCCTTTCCTTGTTCCCTCCCTCTTTATCCCTCCCTCCCTCCCTCTCTCCATCACTGGTTATATCCATTTCTCCATTCATCTTCCCTCCTTCCCTTCCCTCCCCCTCCCTCTCTCCCTCATTTTATATCCATTTCTCCATTTGTTCTCTCCCCTTCCATTCTCCCTCCCCCTCCCCCTTCCCCCTCCCCTCCCTCCCCCCTCCTTCTCTCTATCACTGGTTATATCCATTTCTCCATCTTTCCTCCTTCCCCTCCCTCCCTCTTTCCATCTCTGGTTATATCCATTTCTCCATTCATCTTCCCTTCTCCCTCCCTCTCTCCTCTCCTCCCTCCCCTGCTTCCATCCCTTTTCTTTTGTCCCTGTCTCCATCTCTGACTGCCTCCCTGTCCAGAACCCTCTTTATGTCTTTCCTCCCCCAGCCCTCTCAGCATGGAGTAGGAGAAAACATTTCAGCACGCAGAGCTCCGGTGGCACCATATATAAAATGACGGATCCCCCACCACCCAAGTTGTTGTGAGGTTTTAGAAAAGTGAACACCTGTATCCCCAGTTCTATTCGATCCTTGCCAGTCCCACCCACCTAAGCTTGCTCCCAGAAGACTGCACCTTGGGGTAGATTGGGACAGGTGCAGAAATAGATGTGCCTTCTTTAAGAGGCCTTGGGGCTGGAGTGAGAAAGTGCTGGGCAAATAGGATTTGAAGGAAGTTGTTGGGAAAGAAGGAAGTGTCTCCACCAGCTGGGAAGGATTTGAGGATGGAGATGTCAGCCCCGAGGTCTCTCTCCCAACCACACCCTGAGAGGGGAACTCCAGCTGGGGGAAGGAGGGAGGGCTGGAGAGGGCCTGATCGCCTGGGGCTCCCCTTCTCTCACCAGAGCCCAGGAATCACTGCCAGGGAGAGGAGGTGAGCTGGAGAGCCCCCTGGCTCTGGTATCCCTGAGGAATACTGGGAAACTGGACCCTGGTGAGGCTTGGGGAATGGGACGTTGGAGTCGGTCCCTGAGGGGCGACAGCTGGTAGGTGAACGTGCTGGAGCAGTTGTGGGGGTCCCTAAGGAACCCTGGAAGAAAGATGCCTGGGCCCCTCAAAGAAACAGAACTTTAGAGCTGGGAGGGCTTCAGAGGCACCCTGCCACAACTGAGCAAGACCTGCCTTCCCAAGGGGCCTCTGCCTTTGCTGGAAACCATCCAGGGAAGAAGCCCCCCCTTGTCTCTCAAAGGGAGCAACCTCATTAGGAGGGCTTTAACTGGTTAGGAAGGATTTCCTTTGATCATGCCTTGATTCTACCAGTCTCAAGATTTAGGGAGTCAGGACCCCACAGTCCTGCAGAGAAGGGGCGCCATAGAAGGAGTGCCAGGTTTGCTGCCCAGCTCTATGTGGCCCTGAGCATATATCTTTCTGTTCAGGTCATAGTTTCCTTTTCTAGAAAGGAAAGTGGGGGATTAGATGATCTCCAGGCATTTGCCAATTCTAACTGCTATGACCATAGCTATGGATGCCAAGAGAGGAGGGGGGAGGCTGGATCCCAAAGGAGGCTGAAGGCTCTTCAGCTGGGTAGCTCCAGTCCCTTAGGTTTCTCTGCCTCCTGAATGTATTTCTGGACTTTGCCCCCCTCTTCCTTAGCCCCACCCAGTCCAACCCCAGTTGCTCCAACCTTACTGGGAAGTGGGGACTGGTCCCTGGATCTCCACACTTAAAGACACCGGAAGAGAACCACCAGCCCCTTGGGGAAGAACGGGGTTGGGTCCCCTGGACGACTTGGACCACTCAAAGATCAAGGAAGGGCAGTAGGGGGGAAGGGGCCCAAAGATTCTGAGACAGAGGGAAAGGACTAGAGATGGTTGAGAGGTGCTGGGCGAGCAGACTGTGACGATGACGATGGGGGTGGGGGGTGGCGCTGAGGGGGCTGTGACTCTGGATCCTGAAATGGAAGCGGCATGGGGGAGACTGAAGGGGAGGTGGGCAGGGACTCAGCAGTGTCAGTCTGCCCTGGGCTGGCCCAGCCGCCTGTCTAAGCTTCTGGGAAGAGCCTGCCCTGGCTAGGATGACCTGTCTTTGTGCGGAGCACTTTCCGCAAAACTGGAGGGTCACATCTGGGCTAGGACTGAGTAGGACCCCTGACCCTTCTCCCTCCCTGTCCCAAGGAAGGAGGGCAGTGGGGATCTGTCTTCCTCTCCTCCCTGCCCCTCTCTCCATGCCTCCCCCTTCCCCAGTCCCCTGCACCTGGACTACCCTGGGCTGCTCCTGGGCAGACGCTGCTCTCTGCTGGCAGTCGCCCTGATCGGAGCCTCTTTCTCTGCTCGTTCCCCACAGGAGGCCCCCTAGTGATGTGGGGCTATCTGGCCCTCCTCCCGATCTGCCTGGCGGTGGGGGCTATAGCTGGGGTCTGGACAGTGTGAGTCACTGCGAGGGGATGGCTGGGTCGTTGGGGAGGAGGGAGCCTCTGAATGGATAGAGGTTGGAGCCCTAAATCCTAGGTCCCTGAGTGGTGATGGGGCCTGAGATGCCCAGTTCCCCTGGATGGGTCACAATCCTTAGAAGCAGGGATGGCTGGGGTCAAGGTGGAAACTCCTGGGGAGGGAGGGGCCTAGCCCAGAGGTCGAGGCCCTCCTCTCTCCCCCCTCCAGCTTTGCTTTGGCTGTATCCAACAAGTCTGTGAATCTCACAGATGGCTTTCCTTATATCAGGTATGGGGGAGCAGAAAGAGAATGATCTGCTAAGGGGGGTGGAGGGGTGTCCGTGGGGGACAGTCCTTGTGACCCCTCCTCTCTCTTTCCCCACCTCTAGTTACTGTGGGTCTTTCCCTCCTCAGAGCTGTATATTTGGCCAGCTTCTGAATGTTGGGGCTGCCATGGGTAAGTAGGCTGTCTTGCCTTGTCCCTGGCTTCTCCCCTCTCCTACTGGGAGCCAAGGACTTAATCTGCTCCCCACCCCGGGGTTTTTGTGGGCCGGTCCCAGACCCAGTGACCCCAGTGACCCATGGATGCTAGCTCACAGACTGCATCCCTCGAGGGTCCACGGGTCTTGTGTTCCCAAGGCCCTGGGCCCCTGGACCCACACACTCCCCTTCTTTCTCCCCCTAAGTGGCCTGGATCTGCGTCCTCCGATACCTGCAGCTCCGGGAATGGGGGGTCCCTAAGTTGCCCAATCAGCTGTGTCTGGGGACAGGCTTCCTCTGTGCCTTGGGGGCCTCCATCGTGGGCAACTTCCAGGTGAGATACCACAGCTACGGACTTCAGGCCATCCATTTGAACAGTCCCTGGGGTACAAACTTCTGGGACAGGGTCCTAGGCCCAGTGTCCCTCAATGTAGCTCAGGAGGCAGAGTCCCAAAGTGGCTGCGGGGTAGGCGAAGGGAAGTTAAAAGAAACTTGCAGGTCTCTTTCACCAAAAGGGGAAACTGAGGCCAGAGAAGGAAAGGGGCACACTGAAGTATCACAGCAAGCATAACTAAGGGGTGTTTGCAGACCTCAAAGTCCCTGGCCCCTAGCCACCCGGGGCTTTGCAGCCCACCTTGAGAGAGCTGGATGGAAAGTGATGACTCTTAGCCCAATGCCCTCACTTCCCAGAGGACATTGAGGCCACCCCAGGACTGAGCCTCAGATGGGATTGTCAATTCCTTAGTCACCGATTGGGTTCAGCGACGTCATAGATCATGGAATGTCAAAGCTTTCTGAGTCCCTGGCCATCTTCTGGTCCCCCTCCCCTCATTTTCCAAGAGGCCCAGAGAGGCAAGGAGGGAGTTCCCCAGGTCGCTCCCCTAGGAAGGGCCAGAGCCAGGGTCAAACCTAAGTCTGCTTTGGAGTCTCCCCCTTAGTTAACCCCCCCACCCCAGGCAACTCAGGCTTCTCTCTGGCTGGCCATCCCTCCCTCTTCCATGGCCACCCAGAAGCTAGGCCTCTGACCTGCCAGCTCTCTCCCTCCTCTCCTCAGCAAACAAATGAGGTCTCCACACATCGGTTTGGGTCCTTCCTGGCCTTTGTGGCAGGGGTAGCCTACTTCTGGACCCAGCTGATCCTGTTGCATCTGACCAAGCCTCAGGCCCAGCCAGGGGCCCCCTGGATCGAGCCTCTCCGTCTGCTGCTTTGTGGGGCCTGCACAGTTCTCATGGTGACCAGTATCCTAGGCATGACCGAGGGCCTTGGCTGGAGGGTGGGGAGAGGGAGGCCAGACCCTGGCAGCCCTAGCCTGCCAGACAGAGCAACTAAGGCTCAGGGTCCACTGCTATGCCACAGACTCAAAGAGCGATCATGGAGCCTAAGCTAGGTGCTTGTGAGATGACAGGAGGGAGACTCAGTGAAGGGGAAGGCCTGTGACATTCACTGTCACAGTGAGTCCTGGTACCTTCTGGGATGCCACAAGGGGGAAGGAAGCTGGGTCAGGCTTGGGCCAGAGCTGCCCGAACATAAGCCCCAGGCCGCTGATTCCAGATCTCCCCTTTTCCCACCATCCCACACACTGACTCCATCTTGCCAGTCTTTGCAGACCCAGGGGTTACACAGTGAATCTGGAGGAGGGGGCGGCAGCCGGGCACCCTGGCCCAGGCAGGGCAGGCAGGGCAAAGGGCGACAGCCTGACACCCCGGCCCGAGTAGGGAGGGCAGGGTGGGCGGGACAACCAGACACCCTGGCCCAGGCAGGCCGGCCAAGGCAGGGCAGGCAGGGAAGGGACCAGCAGTCGGGCACCCCAGCCCGGACAGGGCGAGCGGAGCAGCCGGACACCCCGGCCCAGGCAGGGCGAGTGGGGTTGACCCCACATCTGCCTGTGATCCTTAACCTAGGAATGCAGTGATGGTGCTACAGCTGTGGTCCCTGCGTTCGGCAGCAGCCGCGTGCGAGTGGTCCATCACCATGCTCCTCTTCGCCCTCTTCGGCCTCCTGGCTGTGGACTTTTCCCACCTGAGCGGCTTTGTCATAGGCCTGCAGAGCAGGCCCGCCTCTGGCCCCCAGGATGCCGCTCACCTGTCCTCTCTCTAGCTCTCCTCTGCACAGTCCCTTGTGATGCCTCACTGGGTTCCAACCCCAGGGGACTGTTGATGCAAGCTCCCCCTGGACTCCAAGCCTGCCGTGGTCTGGGCCCTCCTACCACTGACCTCTGACCCAAGCCTGGGCCAGAGACAACCAGTAGCGGCCAAACATTGGTTCCTTATCCTCTCCTGGCCAGGGGCCTGTGACCTCTGAGCCTGGCCACGGCCAGACCCGAAGGGAGCCTCAGCTGTCTGCTCTGGCCACCAGAGGCTCAGCGCTTGCCCCTCAACCCCCCTCCCAAACTCTCTGGCTCCCCTGGCTCAGGTGGAGGGGGAAGCGTTGGGGTGTCTATCAGGAGGCCCCGGGGAAGGAGCCCTGGCATCCTCAGGGGCCTTCCTAGCCACGCTGCAGGCCCTGGGAGACAACAGTGGTTCGAGTCTGAGGAGCGTGTCAAGAGACAGGAGACAGGAGGCGCGAAAATTGAACTTTTCATTTTGCGAGAGCAAATCCGTACAGAGCGCAGGGGGGAGACAGAGGAGGAGAGACAAGGAGAGAGGGGGGCTGGGGAAACAGGGACGAGGGCCCCCCAGCCCCTGCCCCATTGGCTAATCCACCCACATCCCCTCCCTTCCCCCTCCCCATAGATAAATAAATAAATTAATCATAAATAAAATAGAAATGCCTCCCCACCCCCCCACCCCCCGCCCAGCCCAGTCACCCCTTCCCTTCGAGGGTCACTGAACCCCTGGGCCCCCACCCCATGCCCTGGCCGTATTTACAGCTTCACAGTTGAGGGGGTTGATGGGGAGGTGGGGAGGATGGGGGATCTGTGTTCGGAGTGACCCCTGAGGGGGAGGCAATGGGGGCTGGGGACCAAGATGTAGGAGGGAAAGGGGGATGGAGATCAGGGCTGGGGACTCCCGCTGGCCGCCAGCAGCTTCCTGTCCTTGGGGGGTGGCCCACGCCGAGGGGAGCCGCCCAGCTCGGGGGGCTCAGACCGGCCTGGTGGGGGCTGCAGCACTCGGGGAGGAGTGCTGGCAGGGGACCTTGGCTGGGCCCCATTCTTCTCATCTGCCGTCACATTGATGGGAAGAGAGAAGAAAACCGTGAGGTGGGCCTCCATCAGGACAGGGGCTCTCTTCTCGGATGACATTTGCTGCAAGGCCTGGCCCTGCTAGGGGATGGGGGGGCAGGGAGCCCCTAAGAAGAGTTATGGGGTATAATGGGGTCCAGGAGGCTCTGGCAGACCCCATGGGCCTCTTCTCAGCACCAGGCTTGTGGGGCTGGTAGCCCCATTTCCCCTACTAGTCCTGCTCCCTGTGGTCCCAGGAGGCTAAGGAAGCTGAACCGTGGGATGTTCCCACCTAGTGGGGGAAACTCCTAGCCTATAAGCTCCTTGAGGCCAGGGACTATCCTTTGTTTTGCCCTCAGGCCAGAGCCCGGTGGGGCAGAGACTTAATAAATGACTGAATCAGGATGCTGCCTCCCCTCCCCTGCCCGCAGTGAGACCTAAGTGTCCTCCAAGGCTGACTCCTCAGAGGGACAGTGAGGCTGGGCCTGGCCTCCGCCAAGGGGATGCCTTACCCTTAGAACGTTGGTTGCCTAGCAACAGTTTCTAGGGAGGCCTAGTTTCTCTCCCTCCCCAAACACACATACAGAGGCATTACCCACTCAGGATTATGGTTGCTAAGGTGCTTTCATTGCCTAGCAACAGTTTCTAGGGAGTTCCGGTCCTCCCAAGAGGTGCTGCCCTGGTAAAACCTTGGTTGTTAAGACTGCTTTAGCAAGTCTCTGGGGACACCTGATTGGACCTTGGTTGCTACAGAGGTGCTATTGCCTAGCAACCATCTCTAGTGAGACTTCCCTGGGACCCTATCTCCTTTGAAGCCTAGCCTCTTGGTGGCAACAGGTCCTAATGGATCTGGGAAGGTCGGCCACACCACCGGCCCCGCTGTCCCACATCCCACGCCTGGGGGGCCATGTGGCAGGAAGGGATGGTCTCTGGAAGGTTCTACCCTTTGGAAGTCAGGCTGCCTGCTGGGGCCGGAGGGCACTAGCCCATTCCCCCTGCCCTGCCTCAAGAGATTGGGGCTGCCGAGGCATTCCCCCAAACCCCTCAACACCCAGGGCCTGCCCCGATGGCCAAGGCCACACTGCCACCACGCTCTCCCCACCTCCCTCCAGAGCCTCGGCCTGGGGCTCCTTTCACCTCAGCCCCCTCACCCGCCAGAGCTTGCACCGACGGCTGATCATGGGTGCTCAAGAGCTGGGCCTGGATCGTCTCCACCACACGTTTGAACCGACGGCTGGGACCTACAAGGGAAGGCCGAGGCCACAAGTGGGGGCTGGGCAAAAACACAGAGTGAGGTGTGGCCCCTTCCCCCAAGTCTTCCCAGATGGGGTCCCTGGCAGCCTGGACTGGGGAACGTCTCCATCAGCCTCAGGTTGGCCACAGCCCCAGAGGACCGTACGAGGAGGAGCTGGGAAGAGCCACTCAGGGCCTGCAAGGGCCCCACAGACCCCGAGGTACCCACCAGCAATTAGCGTAAAAGTGACTGAGTAGACCCCGCTGCCGTCCCGCTCCCGCCGCCGGGGAGGGGGGTCAGGGCCCTCGGATGAGCTGATGTCCACCTGGAAGCGGACAGGTTTCTGGAAGACGGAGGGGCCCCCACTGGTCTTGTATTCGGCCCGGAAGCTGGTCTGGGACAGCACACTGTGGCTCAGGCTGGGGATCTAAATCGGGAGGGAGGGAGGAAGCACTGATGAAGCACCATTACTGGGGAGCATGACCACGTGGCACCAGTGTCTACAGCCCACCAGGCTCTCCCGCAGGCCTAGCAGCCTGCAGATTAGGCAGCTACCTCGGAGGACAGTGGATGAGACACTTGGGGCCCTAGGCACCCTGCTACGTGCTGCAAGAACTCAGGGCTTCGCTGCCCCCAGGGAGGGCCTAATATAGTAGTCCATCCAGCCTTGCAGGCCAGCGAATCTGCATCCCTCTTCGCCTCCACGGCCCATGGCCCTGGCCAGCCCTGCCAACACAACCCTCCCAAAGCAGAAACGTAGCTGCCGGGCTGGCTGATGAGCCCAGAGCTCATCGTGGGGCCCTGGAATCTGGCCCATGCTCCCTCCAGTAGCACAGGCTCCACCCCCAGAGACCAGCCTGGGAATGACAGCGAAGAGGTAGCCCCAGCCTGCGATTTCCAACAGAACCCAGGACAACCCTACGGTCTTGTTGTCCCTGGGGAAAGACTCCACGGGGACTCCCCATGATCCCATTTTGGAATGGAGTGGTTGGCCATCTCCTTCTCCAGCTCATTGGACAGATGAGGAGCTGAGGCCAGCAGGGTGAGGTGACTTGCCCAGGGTCACACAGCTTAAGCGTCTGAGGCCACATTTGAATTCAGGCAGACGAGCCTTCCCGAGTCCAGGATGGACACTGTGCACTATGGCACCACCTAGTGGCCCCTCAAGGGCCTTGTAGGCCACTACCTTCCACTCCACAGCCCTCCCCTATTCCCTCCTCCCACAATGTTTTTGGAGGAGTAGGGTAATTTTCTCCTTGAAACTCCCACCAAGCTATAGGCCAGACACTCCGGGAGTGAGAAGGCAAGTGGCTCTAGGGCAGGATGGGAGTTGTAGCTCCCACTGCACACCTCCCCCACCCATCCCCTAGCCTGGAGCGTGGGAGGAGGGAGATTTCCTTGGGGGAAAGGGGGTCTCTCCCTGTCCTATTTCCTTAGGCATGAGGGAGGTGGGGGGAAAGCTCTGAACCCAATTTATGGTCCCAGGGTATGTTGGGGGGTGAAGGGGGAACATATTTCTTACAGTTTAACTAGGGGACCATCTTCTTCTCCAGACGGAGGCCCAGGGTTCAAACCCCATCTCTGACACTTATCATCTCACTTCACTTTCCTCAGTTTCCTCATCTGTAAGCTTGCCTCTGTGGCGGCTTCCAGCCCTCAGCCTCTGAGCCTGTGATTGCATACCTCCCACCACAGTGAGACAGAGAGACGGAAAGAGGCCTGAGGGAGAGAGGAGCCGGCCACCGGCGTGCCTGCCACCACGCACCGACAAGAAGGCGTGGACGATGTCGGCCTTGATGCTGCTCAGTGCCTTGTTCTTCAGCACCAGGAATATCTGCTCGTCCTTGTCCAGGGAGATGAAGTTTCCAAACCAGGAACGCTTTGCCAGCCTGGGGGGAGGGGGGAGAAGAGGAGAAGGCTTAGGGATCCTTGAGTTCATCTAGCCCATTCTGCAGATGGGCAAAAGTGAGGCCTAGAGGAGCAGGGCCCTGATTAGGGCCACCCAATACATAGGAGCTGCAACGGAGAGCTCAGAGATTAAGTCCAAGGTGGGATCCAGAGAGAGGCAGGGATTTGTAGGTTCCCAGGGCTGAAAGGGCATGGAGTCCAACCCCTCACTATACAGAGGAAGAAAGTGAGGCCCAGGGCAGGGAGTCAGGCCATTCGGTGATTGAGCCTGTCATCTTTGATGGCTAATAGCTTAAGCCATCACTGATCTGACATCATGGGCCAGAGGTGAGAAGCCATAGCTCACCCTGCAGGGTCACAACCAGAAAGAACTTCAGAGATTACCGAGTCCAACCATCTCATTTACAGAGGGGAAACTGAGGCCCCGAGGTGGAAGGAGCCTCGCTCCAAGCCACCCAGCAATCTTAGGATCTTCTAGAGGAACCCCCTTATCTTACAGAGGGATAAGCTGAGACACTCCTCCTCTTCCCGCAAGAGGGCAGTGGTCCTTCCAAGACAAGTCCAGGCCAAAGCCTTGGGCCCCACAGTATGACTGCCCCACTGCCCTTCCTACATCAGAGCATGACTCACTCTGGGGATGATTCCGGTGTCAAGCTGGACATCTCTTCTGCTGTGGGGACTAGAGAGAGAGAGAGAGACACAGAGACAGAGACAGAGAGAGAGATGGGGGGGGAGGAGGGAGGGAGAAGGAGACACAGAAAGACATGGGGGGAGAGACAGAGAGAAACAGAGAGACAGACAGAGAAGAGGAGAGAGGGAGAGAGAAGAGGAGAGGGGGAAGAGAGACAGAGAGAGAGGAGTGAGGGAAGGAGGGAGGAAGGAGGGGAGAGAAAGACATGGCGGGGAGAGACAGAGAGAGAAGAGGAGAGAGGGAGAGAGAGACAGAGAGAGAGAGAGAGAGAGAGAGGAAGGGGAGGAGGGAGGGAGGAGGAGACAGAGAAAGACATGGGGGGGAGAGAGAGAGAAACAGAGACAGACAGAGAAGAGGAGAGGAGAGAGGAGAGCAGAGGGGGAAGAGAGACAGAGAGAGAGGAGGGAGGAGGAGGGAGGGAGGAGGAGAGAGAAAGACATGGCGGGGAGAGACAGAGAGAGAAGAGGAGAGAGGGAGAGAGACAGAGAGAGGAGGGAGGGAGGAAGGAGGAGAGACAGACATGAGGGGGAGGGGGGAGAGAGAGAGAGAGGGAGGGGAGGAGGGAGGGAGGAGGAGAGAGAGAAAGACATGGGGGGAGAGACAGAGAGAAACAGAGAGACAGACAGAGAAGAGGAGAGGGGAAAGAGACAGAGAGAGAGGAGGGAGGGAAGGAGGGAGGGAGGAGGAGAGAGAAAGACATGGCAGGGAGAGGCAGAGCAAAACAGAGAGACAGAGAGAGAAGAGGAGAAAGGGAGACAGAGAGAAGAGGAGAGGGGGGAGAGAGACAGAGAGAGAGGAGGGAGGGAGGGAGGAGGAGACAGACAGACATGAGAGGGAGGGGGGAAAGAGAGAGAGAGAGAGAGGGAAGGAGGGAAGGAGGGAGGGAGGAGGAGAGAGAGAAAGACATGGTGGGGGAGAGACAGAGAGAAACAGACAGACAGAGAGAGAAGAGGAGAGAGGGAGAGACAGAGACAGAGAGAGAGAAGGAGGGAGGGAAGGAGGGAGGGAGGAGGAGAGAGAGAAAGACATGGGGGGGAGACAGGCAGAGGAGAGGAGGGGGGGGAGGAGAGAAGGGGGGAGAGGTACAGCTCAGTCCAGGGCCCTGTGCCCTAGGGACTAAGGTCTCCCGCGCCCAGCTAGCTCCACCTTACGGGCCCCCAGGCTCCCTACCCTGCATCTTGCGCCGGTGGAATCGGGGGGAGCCAAGGAAGCTGTTACGGATGGAGTTGAGCCGACTCCTCCAGGCAGCACCGCCCACACCCCCACCAGCCCCAGGACTAGGAGGTGGGGTGGCACCCGGCGTGCCGGTGGGGCTGGCCCGTGGGGAGCAGGGCGGGGGTGTCGCGGCCCCTGGAGATGTGCGGGGGGATCCAGGAAGGGGTGTGGAGCGAGCGCTGGGGGGGGGTGGCTGCTCCCCTGTACCGCCTCCCCGGGGACCCCGAGATGGCAGCGTCTGAGTCTTGGGCGTCGGGGATGGGCAGCTTCCGGCCCGGGCCTCCTCCCCAGGACTGGCCCCAGGCTCTGGTGAGAAGGAGAAGACTGGGCTCTGCCAGGAAGGAGAGAGAAGGTTGGGTAGAGGCAGTCAGGCAGTCACCGAGCATTTATCACACGCTTATTCTGGGCCAGGGGCTGGTCTGAGTGCTGGGGACAGCAACCCCAACTCAGCGGGCATTATAGGTCCCTCCACACTGAGTGCCAGGAGTCCCTGCCAAGATTCTGGGACTTGTAGTTACATGGTTGCACTTTCTCCAGGGCAGCCTGGAAAACACCTTCCCTCCCCCCCCCCCTTACTCCCATGAGGCCACAGGGCCCAAGCCAGCCCCAGCAAGGGGTCTCCCGCCTCACCCTGGGGCTGCTCAGGGGGCTGGAGGACAGTCCGGTGGAGGCGCCACTGACACTGCGGGATCTGTATTTCAGGAAGGAACGGGGAAAGAGCAGGAGCAAGGGGGTCAGGGAAGGGAACTGGGGGAGGGTGCTTAGAGATCAAAAGCGATAAGAAAGTATCCAAGCCAGCCTTCCCATCCCTAGCCCAGGGGCCATAAGGAAGAAGAGGAGATCCTGAGCTCAGGCCAAACTGGGGGGACAGGGAGCGGGCCCACCTCTGGCTGTGCTGGGCCATCTCCAGGGCTCTCCGGGTGGGCACAGGGGAGCCCCCGCCCCCACTGCCCGCATCAGTGATGCTCAGGACTTCCATGGATTTGCGCTCAGGCCTCCTCTTCCCATGACGGCTCAGCATGGGCGAATCTACCCGCTTCCTTGGAGGGTCTGCAGGGGAAGCAGGGAGAGCAGCCTAGCTCCTGATGGCCTCTGGCTTTTCCTGGCCTCCTGCAGATACTAAGAGATCCTAATGGAGCACATCCCACTAAGGATCAGGGAAACCGAGGCCTGCCTTGTGCCATGATGGCCTGCCCCCTCACCAGCATCGTTCCTCGGTGGCAGATCCTCATCCTCGCAACTCGGGTATCTCTCTTTGCGGTCCAAAAGCAGGTAGTAGATCATTTTTTCCTGGTTCTCCCTAAGGCCGGGGGAGAGGCAGAGAACAGAAGTTATGGCAGGGGAAGCCAGTCTCCCTTCCTCCTGCACCATGCTCTGGCAGGCCTTCAGGGCCTCCTCCTAGCCTTGTTATGTCTTGGTGTCTCTCAGTAAGAGAGTGCTTTATCTTGACACTATCTCAGTGTTATCCTCCTTGTCTCCTCTGCTTATGCCCCTCTCTATCTCTGTCTTCCTTTCTTTCCTAGAGTTCTCTGCATCTCAGTCTCTCTATTAGCTCAAATTCTGTTGCTCAGTCTGATTCTGCTCTCTTCTGCCTCCTCCTGGCCCTGCTCTTGGGCTCTGGACTCTGGGCTCTGCTCCCTGCTGCCTCCTTCTGGCCCTGCTCTGGGCTCTGGACTCTGGGCTCTGCTCCTTGCTGCCTCCTCCTGGCACTGCTCTGGGCTCTGGGCTCTGGGCTCTGCTCTTCTGTCTTCTCCTGGCCCTGCTCTTGGGCTCTGGGCTCTGCTCTCTGCTGCCTCCTCCTAACCCTGTTCTGGGCTCTGGGCTCTGGGCTCTGCTCCTTGCTGCCTCCTCCTGGCCCTGCTCTTGGGCTCTGGGCTCTGACTCTGCTCTCTGCTGCTCCCTTCAGCCCTTGAGTGGGTCTGCAGGCAGCCTCTCCTCGATTACTCTCTTGTCCTAGAGGGACTCAGAAGAATTCCAGCCCCTGGAAGCTCACGCAGTGGGCTTGCCCTTTGTCTCCCCGACGTGGCAGGGGCCAAGAACTTCAGACAGCCTCAGTTCCAGCCTAACCTCCCCTTCCCTCCTCCAGCTGTGACCTAGCCCCAGGATGTGCACGAGCAGGGGGATGGGGCTCACTCCTCGCTGCGCAGCTCCCGGTGCAGCCGTTCCAGGTCCCGGAAGCAGCCCAGGGATGCCATGCTCTCCAGAACATCGGGGTCCAGCTCCCCCGCCCGACGGCAGGCTCCGCATGGCCACTCGACGACCGGGGGCCGGCTCCAGTCTGGGCTCAGGCTCCAGCTTCCCTCCCCTGCAAGGGTGAGATTGGTTGGGTGGGGGTTCTGGAGCCTCCCCTCCTGCCCTTCCCTCCCCCCCCACCCCGGGAGACCTAGGCTTTCTCTTGCCCCGGTTCTGTCCCATCTAGACCCTAGGTGGTGTGTCCTATTCTCTCGTCCCCCGGCCCATACTCACAGGTACCAGGGGTGTTTCTGAATCTGCTCCAGCTGCGGAGGGAAGAAGGGGAAGGGAATGAGAGAGAAGCTGATAAGTGAGTGATATGGGGGAGGGTTTCATCCCCATTAACGCACTTCCCCCCCCACGCCCCCTCCATTCCCGGGGGTGGAGTGGGTGCAAGCATGGTGCTTTTGTCGCCCCCTAGCGTTCATCTCCTGCGCTGCCAGCAGCAGCCCTGCTCCCGGCAGGCCTCCTGTTCTCTCAGCGCCCCCTGGCGACCACAGCTAAAAAGGGAGCCTGCCGTCCGCGCTAAGCTCAGGCTGGGAAGAGCCCGGCCCGCAGCCACGCATGCGCAGCCGGCCCGACCCGTGCGGGCGCCCTGTCGTGGCCGAGCGGAGCACTGCTGGTCCAGGGAGGGCGTCGGGCCGGGCCCGGGGGGGCAGCTGTCGGAGCCTCCCCGCCCCAGCGCACTCACACTCAACCTCTTCTCGGGCTCCACCTCGATCATGCCCCTCAGCAGGCTCTGACAGTCCGGGGGGATGAAGTGAGGCATGTGGAACACGCCCCTTTTCACCTTCTCCAGCAGCTGCCGCAGGTTGTCATCGTCGAAGGGCAGCGCCCCCTGGAGGAGAGCAGAGTCATGGGGGGGTCTTGCCCTCACCCTCCCTCCCCCGGCCCGGACTGCAGGAATGGGCAGCCCATCCAGCGCCTGCCTTTTACCCCCGAGCCTCGAAGACGGGCAGCGTCTGGCCCAAGGTCCTCATCGAGGCGGGCCCTGAGCCCCAGAGCAAGGAATGAGTTGCTCCAACTCTAAGCCAGTGCTCAAGCACAGCCGTAGAGTCGGCCAGGGAGCCGGGCACCGAGACAACGGAGGCAGCCCTTCATGAGGAAACTGACCCAAGGCTCCGTCCCGCCAGTCCACCTGCTGTCACCCTCTGGTCCCTCCTCCGCTCCCACGGCTTCATCTCCACGCAGAGGATTCCCACGCCTCTCTGTCCAGGCCTGACCCCCCCCCCCCGAGCTCGAGCCCCAGCTGTCCACCGTCCTGCTGGACATTTCCACTTGGACGTCCATAGGCACCCCAAAATGGAACGCCGAGACATCTGCCTTAACCTTGCCCCCTTGGACTTCCCTCTCTCCATTGAGGGCACCACCATCCTCCCAGTCATCCAGCTTCACATCTTAAGAGTCTTTAGTGCTTCTCACCCTCTGTGTTCTATCACTTGCCCAGTCTTGGCCATTTTCTTCCCACATCTGTCTCCTCTTCATGCATGCAGCCAGCTCTCCTAGTTCCAGCTCTCATTGTCTTGCCCCTGAACTACTTCAAGCCCTCCAATCGGCCTCCCTGCCTCCACGGCCTCTGCCGCCGAGCAGCTGCCAAAATAATCTCCCTCAGGCACACATGGGACCGCCTCATTCCCCTGCTCAAAAGCCAACAATCACCCCTTACACTCCTGAGATGACATTCCAGCTCCTCACCCCAAGGCCTTCTATCATCTATCGCCAAATTCCATGTCAAGCCTTCTTTCACAGGATCACGTCCAAGCATTCTAGGCCCCAGCCAAACATGATTAAGTCAGTCCTTAATCTGATATGCCATCTCCTGCCTCCAAGCATTTGAACAAACCAGTCTCATGCCAGAAACATACCCTGTCCTCATCTCTACCTGTAAGAAACCTTATCTTTATGGGGCAGCTAGGTGGCGAGGTGGATAGAGCACCAGCCCTGGACTCGGGAGGACCTGAGTTCAAATGCGACCTCAGACACATAACACTTACTAGAGGTGTGTGACCCTGGGCAAGTCACTTAACCCCATTGCCTAGATAAAAAACAAAAAACAAACCAAGAAATCTTATCTTGACTGGACCCACATTTCAGCTCTGCCTCTACCATTACAGCCTATGTGACCTTGGGCAGATCACTCCACCTCTATGGGCCTCAGTTTCCCTCATCTGTAAAGTGGGGGTGGGGTTGGACTTAATGGCCTCTAAAGGCCCTTCCAACTCCAAATCTCTGCTCCTGGGATCTTTAAGGTTTTCTCTATGCTCTTTGGTCAAGGTTTTCCTAAGATGCTCCCTCTTCCTCGAAGTTTATCAGTTATTCCCAGTCACTAGTGCTTGCTGCCCCCTCAAATTAGCAGAGAGCTATATATCTGCTGCTCGCCATGTAATCCATCAAAAACACTTGTCAAGGAGCCACCATGGCCAAGCCCGTCGTGCTGGGTCCTAGGGTCGGACAGACAAAAGTGAAAGGATCCTTACCCCTCAGACAGCTTACGCCCTCTAGTAGGAAATTACATATATATTATATTTACAAATTACATGTATATTATATCGATGTGTGTGCACATGCACACACACATACACACACATAGATCTTCCTAATAGACTCCTTTGAGGACAAGGACCCTCCAGTTTAGTCTCGCATCCTCAGGACCTAGAACAGTAGCCAGGGCTTAATAACATTTTGCTGAATTGAGATCCAGCAATGGAGAGGGACTTGACCAAAGGTACATAGCGGGAAAGTGACCATCAGATCTTAGAATTTCAAGATGGAAGAGGGAGACTTTGGAGACCACCTAGACCAGCCTTAATAATAATAGCTAGCATTTCTATACGACTTTAAGGTTGGCAAAGTGTTTTATGGAAATGATCTCATCTGACCCTCACAACAACCCTGGCAGATAGATACTATCTATCATTATCCCCATTTGACAAATGAGGAAACTGAGGCCAGCGGTAGTTAAGTGACTTGCCCAGGGCCACACAGCTGGGAAACAGTTGAGGCAGGATTTGAATATAGGGCTTCCTACGTTCTCCCCACTACACCACGCACAGCCTTTTTTTGCATCATGGACATGATGAGACAATATTTGTAAAATGCTTAAAATGTAAAAAGTGACTGGCACATAGTAAGGCTGTGGAGCCTGTCTAAGAGTAATGTTTTTAAATGTATAAAACAAACTGCATAGGATTGCAAAGGAGACCAACTATGTTGACACATAGTTATCAAAAAATAGATTTTTAAGAACAGATTTCTAGACTTGCAGAATCTATCCCCAAAGCATCTGAAGAGGAACAGAGGCCCCAGGTAGGGCAGGACTTCTCCAAGGTCCCACACAAAGACAGAAGCAGGCTCCCAACCCTGGGCCCAACCTGTCTGTCTGTCTGTCTCTCTCTCTCTGTGTCTTTCTCTCTTTCTCTCTCTCTCTGTCTCCCTCCCCTCCCTTTCTCAGCCAGTTCTTACCACCAGGAGTGCAAAGAGGATAACACCACAGCTCCACATGTCAGCTCGCCTCCCATCATATTTCTCCCCCTGGGAAGGAGAGAGGTGTTTCCCTCATTCCTGAGCCTCTCTCCCTCCTTCTTCCCTGGACCCCCAGTTCTTCCCAAACACTCACCTTGATCACTTCTGGGCACGCGTAATGGGGAGACCTGAGGGGGAGAGAGCATAAGGCTCTCACCAGCCCTAGGCCTCCCCTTCCTCCCATCCTTGGGACTGAGGCAGGGTGCCCCCTGGCCTACACTCACCCACAGCTTGTCTCCAAGAGGCTGTCTCCCACCTGCAAGGAGGCCATGCCAAAGTCTGCAATCCGAATGTTGTTCTCCTCATCCAGAAGCAGATTCTCTGGCTTTAAGTCCCTGTGGCTGAGGCCAGGAAAGGGGGCTGTGAGGGCCTCATTCCTGGGCAGAGGCTCCTTAGCTGCTTGAGGACTCAGATATCTGAGTCCCCAGCCCCTCTCTACCCCCTCAGCCCCCTTACCAGATGGAGTAGCTGTGGCAGAAGTCCAGGGCTGACACTATCTGGCGGAAGAACTTCCGGGCTTCTTTGGGGGTGAGCCGCCCCTTCTTCACCAGGTAGTCAAAGAGCTCACCCCCTGAGACGTGCTCCAGAACCAAGTACCTGGGGAGAGCAGGGGGAGGGAGGGGTGCTACCACTGTTAGTGTGAAGCGGAGGACGGGATGTTGGCCTCACCTCCTGGGTTGCCCCCATTCCTCATCTGCCTTCTCCCTTACCCACGGAAAACTGGGAATTCCCTAGCTTCTGAGGCACAAAGTTTCCAAGCCCCCTCCCCCCCCACCATGTGCCAATCTCCCATCAGCCCTTTTGCAATAAAGATTCTAATTATGAGGCTCTGGGGCACAAAGGTTGTAATTCCCATTAGCCCCTAGAGCATTAACATTCTAATTCCCACCCATCCTTGGAGCATAAATATCCAATCTCCCATCAGCCCCTGGGGTATAAAGATTCTATTTCTCTGGGATATAAAGGTTCTATAACCTTTGGTGGGATGGAACTCTGGCACCCTTAATCCCAGGGACAACTGTACTCGCTGACTAAATCTGTTTCCACTTCTTAGGGCAAGAAATAGAGGGATTGGTGTGTGTGTGTGTGTGTGTGTGTGTGTGTGTGTGTGTGTGTGTGTGTGTGTGTGTGTGTGTTGGGGGGAAGGTAAGACCTGGATTGAGAATCACAATTCCCATCATCCTCTGGGGCCATGGCTGTTTAACAGCCTGAGGAACCCCACCCTAGAGGCTTCTGGGAGTTGGAGGAAGCCCGGCTGTGGGAATAGATAAGCTGGAGGGCAACCTTTAGGCAAGAACTTTTCCCTCTCTGCACCTCAGTTTCCTCTGCTGTAAAAGGGGAAGGGGGGGTGGATTCCATGATCTCTAAGGCACTTTCCAACGCTAGCATCCTGTGACACCCCCCCCCCACTGTCCAGCTGCTCCCTCAGTCACCCTCAGGGCCCAGGACAAAGGCCCATTCTCCGGGGCCTGAACATCTGGGCCCTCCTCCCACAGCAAGGAAGGGAGTGCAGACCTTCAGGAGGCAGTCCCAGCCTGTGCGGGCCCCATCCTGGAGATCACCTGGACGTGGTTGTCCAGGAGCAGCCTCGGGGCTCTGTTTGGGGAGGAGGGAGTGTCCCATTCGCTGGGTTGTGGAATGGGACGCCCAGTCTCCAGAAGGCTCTGCTCTGCTCCTTGTGGGAGAGCATCCAGCCTTCATCAGCTGAGATGGGACTGGGGCAAGGGCTGGGAGGGCAGGGGAGAGGAGGGTCAGGGGCTGTCTATAAATACCTACAAATATTTCTTGTTCTCGTAGACATCGTGGAGTTTGAGGACGTGGGGGTGCTCGATGAGCTTGAGGATGGCGATCTCCCGTTCCACCTTTGGGGGGCACAGGTGGCAGTTTGGAGGTCACCCCAGGCTCCCCAGCCCCGGCGTTCACCCTAGCCCAGCCCCTGGCCCCCTCACCTTCATCAGCACCGATTCGGACAGTTTCTCCCGGTTCACGATCTTGATGGCCACTTTCTGGCCAGTGATGCAATGGACACCCAGTTTGACCAGGCCTGCAGGGTGGATGAGGCCAGTGAGGGCAGTGAGGAGTGGGGGATGCATCTACCCAAGCCTTATCGCCTTTGCCAGGTCCTGACTCCTACACCTCCCCTTTCCTTGCCCCTCACTCCCTGACCCAAAGGAATACCAGAACCGAAAGGCATCTCAGAGGCGGTCTAGACCAACTTACACCTAAAACGAACCTCCTCTGTGTTGGTTAGCTTTGCCGAACTTTATTTTGTATTCTTTGTTACAAGGGATGGCTCAGTAGGGAGGCAAGGGGAAGAGAGCTATGTTGGGGAAATGAAGATGATAAAGAAACAAAGTATAACAATGATTTTTTTCCCCCAGAATCTCTGAGAAGTCACTGGAGACTTTCAAGAAAGGGGGGCAGCTAGGTGGTGCAGTGGATAATGCACCAGTCCTGGAGTCAGGAGGACCTGAATTCAAATCCTTAGCTGAATGGCTGTGGCCAAGTCACTTAACCCCAATTGCCTCACAAAAAAAAAAAAAGACTCTCAAGAGAGGGGTGTGAGGGACTCCACAGTCTCCCAAAGCATACCACTTCGTTTTGGGACAGCCCAATTGTTAGGCTTTTTTTCTCCTTGATATCAATAATCATCATTACAAGGTTCATTTCTATACAACTTTCAGGTTTACAAAGCGTTTTACAAATATTATGTCTTGTGATCCTCACAACAAACCTGGGAGGTAGGTACTATTATCATCCCCTTCTTACAATTGGGGAAACTAAGGCAGACAGAGGTTAAATGACTTGTCCAAGGCCACACAACTAGTAAATGTCTGCAACTGGATTTGAACTCAGGGCTTCCTGACTTGAGGCCCAGCGCTCTGTGCACTGTGGTACCACCAGCAGCATCAAGACTAAGTTTGTTGCTGTGCCTACCTTTGGTCTGGTTCTCCTAGTTGAAGCTGGGCAGAGCAGGAGTAATCCGTCCTAGAAGAGTGCCTAGCACACAGTAGGTGCTTAATAAATGTTTATCGCCTGCCTACCTTCTTCAGAGGCTTGAAGATTGTTATTGGTGTCTGCAGCCCCTTCTGGCTCTAAATGTAGGATTCTATGACCTGGCAAGGCTAATGGAAGGCTCCCCTCTTATCTTCCCTTGTCCAGGCTGAACCCCCTCAGCTCCTTCATCTCATAGATTCCAGGCACTTCACCATGCTGCTTGCCCTCCTCCGGATGCCCTCCAGCTTTTCTCTGCCCTTCCTAAAATGTGGTTCCCAGAGCTGAACACAATGCTCTCTGTCCCAGGGAGGGGACAGAGGGACCATCACCGCCCCATTCTGGGCACACTTACTCTTTTCATGTGACTCAAGCTTGCATTGCCCCCTTTGACCCATCTCACTTGGGGCATGGGGCCTACATGGCAGTGGGTCCTCTTACCCCCAACACACACACACACACACACACACACACTCACTCTCTCTCAAGCAAAAGTTGGACAATCAATTATCAGGGATGTCATGGAGGGGGTCCTTTGGAAAGTACAAGTTAGAAGGCCCATTGAAGACTCTGACCCCTCTCTCTCTCACCCGCAGCATCACAGACTGAGAGCTGAAGGGGATCTCCAAGCGTCCCCAGCCCAAGCCATACTAGAGAAACAGGAACCACTTTGACAATTTCTCTCCCTTGGCTATCCTGCCTCCTAGCCTGTCTGACCTATCTTGTCCTGTTCCATCCCTGACTCTTTCCCTTGCCTATGTCTCCTTTATGCACTCATGGCCCAAATGCCTCTAACCAGATCCATCTGTCTCTTAGCACATATCTACCAGATCCATGTTTCTCTAACCCTCACTTTTTTCAGAACCACCTCTTCCCTGCCCCCACCCCCACCCCATCAGCCATCTCTGCCCTCTCCCTCAGCCCTCCTGACTAATTTCTTCCCTCAGCCAGCTCTGACCTGATGGGCTCTATCCTGTCCCAACACTCCCCTGGCCTGCTCTCCTCTGTCCTGGCCTGTTTCTTTCTCACCCCATCTCTCCCTTCCTGCCCCATTCCTCTCCACCCCTCTTTCTCTCTGCTCCATCCCTCCCTGCCCCTCTGTCTCCCTGCCCCATCCCTCCCTGCCCCTCTCTGTCTCTGCCCCATCCCTTCCTGCCCCTGTCTCCCTGACCCATATCTCCCAGCCCCATCCCTCTCTGCCCCTGTGTCTCCCTGCCCCATCCCTCTCTGCCCCTGTGTCTCCCTGCCCCATCCCTTCCTGCCCCTGTCTCCCTGCCCCATCCCTCCCTGTGCTTCTGTCTCCCTGCCCCTCTGTCTCCCTGCCCCATCCCTCCCTGACCCTCTGTCTCCCTGACCCAGCTCTCTGAAGACTCCCTGTGTGGGAAGCTCACCTCTTCCCCAGGCTAATCAATCCCCTGCTCCCTCATCTTTTCCTCCAACCTCGGCCCTTAGCTCATAGCAGGTGCAGAAATAAGCCGCATGTATTGGGAGGAGGGGTGCCCATGGCAAGGAGCCCAGGCCAGAGACCAAAGCAGAGGTGAGGGGCAAGGATGGTGGAGGCCAGGGGGAGGGGGCAAGGGCACACAGATGGTCTGGGTGGGTCCAGAGCAGCAGGTTAGAAAATTCTCCCAGCTCCAAGTTTAGCCCCAGGGCAGGCAGCAGGGACTTGGAAGCAGCTGCCTCCTTTCCCAAGCAGTCAGTGCCCCAGCCCTGCGGCAGTGACCTTCTGGGAGACCAGGCAGTTTGGTACCCAAGTCCCCACCCAGCCTCGGGATGCAGCCAGCCTCTGCCCCGCCCTGGGCCCCGGGTGCCTAGCCTGTGATCCCCAGCAGCGGCGGGCAGCCGAATCGGACCCCAGCCCCCGTTCATCTGGGGACCTTCGGCTTGGGCCGTCAGCACCCCACCCCTGTCCACCCCCAAGGGACCCCGGCATCTGATCCGCTCACCTGTCTGTCCCTTGCCCAGGGTCTTCTCGAGCCGGTAGGGCCCCACATACTGGGCGTGCTGTGGGGGGTGAGGGTGTGGTAGGTGGTAGGCTGGCCCCCCACCTCCGCCAGTCTCCTTGGGCCCCGACATCCCTGCAGCGGCCTTGGTCCCGGCCCCCCGCCCGCCGCCGCCTCCCCCTCGGGACCGGCCTGACGCCCCGTCCCTGTCCCTGCGGCGGGGGCCGGTGGCGGCGGCGGGCGGGGCCCCCCGACCCCCCGCCTGCGCCCCGGGGCTCCCCAGGGGGCCGGGCCCGCGGAGCCGGGGGAGGGGGGGCTGTCCCGGGGGGATCAGGCCCCAGGAGGGGCCATGAGCCCCCCCCCTCCCCAGCCCGTCCCCGCCCGCCCCCCCCTTGGGCCTCCCCCGCCTGGGGGGGTCTGAGGTGCCGGGCGGCTGATGCTGCAGGCGACGGCCCCCCCTCCCCCCCCTGCGCCCTCTCTCCTCCTCCTCCTCCTCCTTCTCCTCCTCCTCCTCCTCCTCCTCCTCCTCCTCCTCCTCTCCGCCTCCCCCCGCCACCACCGCGTCCTTTCTCTCTCGCCCGCTGACATCACCATCCGGGGACTCCCGGGCCCTTCCCCAAAGTTAACCCTTTCGAGGGGGGGGGCGGGGATGGGGGGAGCCGAGGGAGACCACCTTGGAGTCAGGGGTGGGCAGAAGTATGGAGGGGAGAGGGGTGGAGAGAGAGGGATAGAGAAAGACTGGGGGAAGGATGGATGGAGAGAGAAGGATGAATGGAGTGGTACAGTAAAAAGAATGTAAAGAGATGGAGGTTGGAAAGAGGGAGGGATGGACAGAAAAAGAAATACAGATAGAGAAATGAAGGGATAAAGAGAGACAGAGGAAAAGATGAAGGGAGAGGTTAATGGAGAGAGATAGAGCGGAATAAAGAGACGGATGGAGAAACACAGGCAAGGAGAGATGAAAGAAAAGGTTGGAAACAGGAATGAGGAGAAAAGGATGTAAAGATGGAGACAGAGGTATAGAAGAGCTACAAAGTGGGAGATGGCAGGATAAAGAGGAAATGGGGAGAGAGGGATTGAGAGAAACAGAAATGTGGATGAAAAGAGAGATGAAGGACAGTAATGGAAAGAGAAAGATGCAGAGAGATGTGAAGAGAGTAGTGAAAAAAAAATCGAGATGAGGAGTGTCAGAGGGTCGGAGAGGCAGAGATCAGAGAAACTCAGAGCTGGAAGGGACCTCAAAGGCATCTGCTCCAGCTCATACCTAAATAACCACCCCCACCCCCACCTACAGTATGTCCAGAAAATGGTTATCCAGCCCACCCTTGCTTAAAGAACCTACCATCTCCCAAGGCAATCCATTCCACTTTGGGACAGTTCTCATTGCCTGAGAATGTTTCCTCACACCCTCCCCAATGCCTCCCCCCAATTTACTTCTCTGTAACCATCACCCATTCCTCCTGGTCTCATTCCTGCCCCCCCCCCCACACACACTCCACATGTTATTTCTTCAAATACTGGAAGATAGCTATCATGTCTCTCCAAGTCCTCTCTCCTCCAGGCTAAACATGGGAGAGGAGCACAGAGAGAGAGATAAAGAGACAGCAGGTTGGAGAGAGTCAGAGAGAGGGAGACGGAGATTCAGAGGCTCCAGAGGGATGAAGATAGACATGGAGACATGGAGAAAGGGATGGAGAGATACTGAGAGAAATAGACAAAGGAACAGAGAGAGAGAGAGAGAGACAGAGAGACAGACAGGTAAAGTGAGACATAACCAAAAATGGAGAGATGGTAAAACAGAGAAGTATTTGAGAAGATGGGATGGTAGCCCAAGGTATGGCGTGAAGAGATGTGGAGACAGATGAAAGGAGAGAGAGACAGACAGAGACACACAGAGGGAAAGAGAGACAGAGAGACAGAGAGGAGAGAGAAGAGAGAGGGGGAGGGAGGGAGAGAGAGAGAGAGAGAGAGAGAGAGAGAGAGAGAGAGAAGTATATCGATGAAGCTGGAGTGACAGAAAGAGGTATGGAGACAGAGAAAGGTGGGGACAGGGTGAGGGAGAGGAAGAGAGGGAAGGGGGCAGAAAAATAAAGGGTGCAGAGCAGAAGGAAAGATTGAGGGAAGGAAGGAAATAATGACAGTGAGGGAGGAAGAGGAGGAGCAGGAGGGATGAGGACAGAGCATCTCTGTCAATGTTCCCAATAACCTTGAGTTTTCACCATTTCTCTGTCCTTCAGGCTGTACAGGCAGTTCTTTGCCAAAGCCTGTTGTCTCCATTTCCAGGACACATCTTGGGACCTTTGCTGTCCACTCCCCCAGTCCCTCCTAATGTTCAGGCCTCAGCTCTTCCTGAATAAATTGTATCATCCCAACTGACCTCCCAGTCTCCGGTCTCCCAATCACTCCTCCACGATGACTCTGGGCTAGTCTTCCTTAACACTCCTCTGATCACATCACTCTTCTAGTCAGAGATGAGAGGTCCCTGTTGATTGCCATCACTTACAAGGTAAAGCGTGAACTACTAGCATTACTGTGACATTGAAGGCCTTCTACCATCTGCCTTCTGATAACATCTCACACTGGTTTTCTTCAGATATTCTGTGTTCTAGCCACACTCTCATCCACTGTTCCCGTTTTGGTCTTTCTCACACGTAGGTTTTTCTTATGCTGTTTCCCACCCCTCAGATGGACGTGGCTTACCCCAACTCTATCTGCCAAACCCTCTTTATTCCTTAAAAGTTCAGCTCCATCTGTCAATCTGTAGACCTTTATTAAGTGTTCACGATGTGCCAGGCACTGGGGAGAGAGACAAAGATGCAAACATCTTGCCCTCATGGACCACGGGGGGAGGGGGAAGAATGACTGGATTTTTCCTGGGTAGGAAACATCAAAACACCAATATGTAAATAACTATACATGCAAAATAAATCAAAAGTATTTTGATGGTGGGATTAGGAAAGGCAACATGTAGTTTTTGAGTTGAGCCTTAAGAGAAACTTGGAATTCTGAGAGATGTTGGTAAGGAGAAAGAGCATTCCAGGCATGAGCTACATACAGCATGTGCTGAAACCTGGGGTGGATGGAGCACTCAGGGAGGACTGGCACCTCTGGGGTGAGGGCTGTTCATCCACCTCTGGGGTCCACCTTCACTCAACTCTCCCCTGTGGCTCCAAGAAGCCGTAACATGTGCAGCGGCCACACCCCGGCACGCTGTCCTGGCTGACATGCTACCCCAGGAGTTAGTGGGGCGAGTTGCTGGGGTTTCTACCCGAAGCCTGGGAAGACTTCCCCAGCAGATGAGAGCAATGGGTTCCAAAGGCCATGAAGGAAGCTGAAGCAGACCTGTAGGGTGCTTAGAGATTAGTCAGACATGGAAGACACCAAGGTCATCACTAGTCATTCTGACTTCTGTCCTGCTACTGGACTTCGGTGACTGGAAGAGAGAGTGAGGCTGACGACTTTGCACAGCCCTGCCTCGCTTCAATCCGACTGATGAGCAAGTCAAGACATCACCCCACGATGTCACTGGTCCCCTTGGAGAATGAAGGACAGACAACAGTGTGTACAAAGGTGTAGAGATGGAATGTTGTGTTTAGAGAGGGACAAGTAGGTCAGCGCATAGAGGGGAGCAATGGAAACTTAGTGAAGAAGGTGAGTTAAGACCAAACTGGGAAGGACTAGAAATGTTCAAGAGAAGAGCCTACATCCTACCCTGAAGGCACTCGGGAGCTTCTGAGATTTCTTGAGAGGGGATCATAGACTATGCTTTTGGCTTTGGGAAAGGCCTTCTCCTGGAAGGATACCTTGGGCCCTCCCCAGCTGAAAGTGATGAGTGATTCCTCCTCAGATTCTCAGAACCAGCCGTTGGCCTGGGGCTCTCTCCGTGCCACCTACCTGAGCCCTTATCTTCCCCACTTTGATGTAGCACTAGAAGGGTGGCTATGTAAACGGTGGATGCTACATTTAAATACCAATTAATCAATTAACAAGAGGCTATATGGCCTGATATCTTTATCAGGTAGGAGCAGCTGCGTGGGGTAGCAGATAAAACCCTGGGACTGAAGTCGGGAAGACTTATCTTCCTGGCCTCAGACACTTGCTAGCTGGGTGACCCTGGACAAGTCACTTCATCCCGTTTGCCTCAGTTTCCTCATCTGTAAAATGAGCTGGAGAAGGAAATGGAAAACCCCTCCAGTATCCTTGTCAAGAAAACTCCAAATGGGGCCACCAAGAGTCAGATACGACTGAAAAACTACAGAATCATTATCAGGTGGGAATACATGCATCTCCATAAAGGGAGAAAAAGATTTCCACCCACTCAGCTGTGACTTTCGCCATCTGCCACAGGGGCCCTCTGGGCTTGAGCCTGCTTCCCTCTGGCCTCTATATGTACTTGTGAGAGGTGGGGGATGCTTTGTACTGACTCACCTTACTCCACTAATTTCTGTGGATCTCTATCTTGGTATCTCTCAGTCTCTGGAGCTCAGTCTGAGGCTCTTGATCTCTTAGAGGTCTCTTGCCTCAGTTCCTATCTCTGCCTCAGTCACTGTTGTCTCTGTCTCCCTTGCTGAGGGACAGCTTGAGGCTGTCCAGGTTCCTGCCCCACTGGCCCAGGCCCTGGCCTGGGTGGACCTTGTCTTCTGACTTAAGCCCTCCCAGAAGGTGAGAGCAGGGGCCCTTGTGTGTAGGGGGGAGTTTCACCCATTGCTGGGAAGGCTCAGCCTAGATCAGGGTCCTCCTAGGCAGACTAAAGGAGCAGGTCCCAGGATCCCCATGCCCTGGGACACCACCTCCCCCACCAGTGGGCCCCCTTCCCATTGCCTCTTCTGCCTGGCCATGGCAGCTGCAGGCATGGGAATGTAGGGTACAGGCAGGCAGGAAGATGCCAAGAGGGAGGGGATGGTGCAGCTGGCCTGGCTTCTGCATATTTGCCTCTATGCTCATGAAGAATCATAGGATCTCAGAGCTGGGGGTGACCTTCGAGGCCATTTAGACCAACGTGTTTCTGGACGGGAAGCCCTCTACAACATTCATGACAAGCTGCCACAGGCTCTGCTGGAGCCCTTCCAAGAACAGAGTCCTCCATACCTCCTTAGGCAATACATCAGCTGCTTGCCTGTACAAACAGGCATTCGTTGTTCTGTGGTGTGCGACTCTTCGTTGACCCCCTTTGGTGTTTTCTTGGCCACAGTACTGGAATGGTTTGCCATTTCCTTCTCCAATTCTGTTTATAGATGAGGAAACTGAGGCAAACAAGGTTAAGTGACTTGCCCAGGGTCACACAGC